GTGTGTGTGTGTGTGTGTGTATAATAATGGAAGCGCTGTTAGACGCAAACACTCAGAATATATGAAATTGCTGTTTTAGGTTGTAAAAAAAATTGTTAAATTAGAAAAAGTGTCTAATAGCGCTAGAGTGTATGTGTGTGTATATATATATATATATATATATATATATATATATATATATATATATATATATATATATATATATATATATATATATATATATATATATATATATATATATATTATTAAGTTGTTCTCAAAGACTAGTACAATAATAAATTAGTAAATAATTAAATTAGTAATATATATATATATATATATATATATATATATATATATATATATATATATATATATATATATATATATATATTAAGGTGACCATTTTTTTTTTCAATGAAAAGGAGGACAAAATTTTTTTTGTAAAAGTATTACATAAATAAATAAAATACTTCATTAAAATAAAAATATGCTAATCATTCTTTTATTCCTTTTAATTAAGTTGTCATAAAGTTTAAGATTAATTAAAATAAAATTAGTATTTTTCAATTTAAATTAGTATTTTTCAATTGAGTGGATATTTTTTGCCAATATTATGTTTTCTAACAATATGCTTGAAATTTCAGAGCAAGATATGTGTTTCATATTAACTTTTACTTGAAGTAAGTCCTGTAATTTTACATGGACATTATTTACTCCTTTCCGTTTTCGCCCTTTAAAATTTGTATTTGTATTACAGCTGTTAGTGCAACAATTTTAGATTTCAAATCATTTTCATTTATAACCCTGAATAGGTGTTGTGACAAAACATCAGCAGTTTCACCATCAATAGATTCTAAATTTAAAATATTTACTTGAATGCCCTTGGTAATATTAAAATGCCTTACTAGTATTGGATACAATTTGGTTTCATTGTGATTTGAGGCATCAGATAAAATTGTTACAAATCTTGCATTTTTTAAGTCTTCTGCAAGTACTTTATCACAGTAATTTTTAAATACTGATTTAACAATAGCCTCACATTTTGTCCTTGCACTTGAAAATTTAGCATTATGAAATTTTTTCATTAATTTACTTGTACAATCCATACTTCTAAAACTTTGATTATGAATTATGGTATGATATGCAAATGTTGCCTCCATTACAGCTAACTGTTTTTCACCCTCAGAATAATTAGATGATTTAAAAAAATCTTTTACTTTACTAGTGGAAGCTGAAGCATCTAATGACTTCTTATGTTTGTTGGTGTTTAAGTGTTTCGTTATAGCACTTCTCCCTCCAACTGCAATACAAAATTCTCCTCTGCAAATATTACAAAAAACAATGGTTTCACTCTCTGACATGAGGAAATCAAATTCGTTTTTCAATTGATCATTAAAATGACATTTCTCTTCTTTGGGTTTTCCATTACTTGAATGAAATAAAATTATAATAATAATAATGTAAACATATTACGTATAAATAGAGTTATGAATTCAAGAATAAAACATACCAACTCTAATTACTTGAGCAAAATATTTGCAAATATTAAAAAAACAAAACACTTTGTACAAGTTAAATTATTGACGCTTGACAATGGAATGAGATAAAAGACCGGGTGAATGAGATAAAAGACCGGGTGAATAAAAAGAAGCAATTACTTTTACTCGGAATAACTGTTCAGCTTAAGTGAATTTAAGAAAACTCAAATGTTATTCACGCGAAGCTAAGCAATTTACTCCAATAATTACTCAGCTTTACGCAAGTAAAAAGTTTAAAAATATTCAAAGAGTTTTTGTTTACGTAAAGTTGACCAATTACCAAGTAAATGCATTTATAGAAATCACAATATCCCAACGTGAGCCGAGAATAGAGTTAGAAATGGCTTTAACTAGTCAGAAATCACTCATATTAAACAGCTAAGTTGCAATTAGTTTTAAAATAATAAAACTAATTTTAAAATATCAAAAAGGAGGACAAAAAAGAGGACACTGATCAAGGTAGGACAGGACCAAAAAAAGGAGGACTGTCCTTCCTAAAGGAGGACGATTGGTCACCTTATATATATATATATATATATATATATATATATATATATATATATATATATATATATATATATATATATATAAATATATATATATATATATATATATATATATATATATATATATATATATATATATATATATATATATATATATATATATATATATATATATGTATACACATAATATATAGACAGACTAGCTTTATAGAAAACACTGTACCTTGCGTACATTTGTCCACATCTAGACTTTGCAGTACAGGTTTGGTCTCCTCACCTAAAAAAAGATATAGCAATAATAGAGAAAGTTCAAAGGCGTGTAATGAAAACAATATCTGAGATAAGACATCTACCATATGAAAAAAGATTACAAATGCTGAAACTAACATCACTTTAGGATTGCAGGAAAAGAGGTGACCTAATCCAACAGTTCAAATTTACTCACCAGATTGATGTAGTCAATTTTCATTTCCCTCAAACTGTACTATATTCAACTATAAATTATAATCCCTGAGGACACAGCGACTTTTGCCTCAACTAATTGAAGGTTGCATTGAACGAGAAAATTTTTTTATTAATAGAGTAACAAAACACTGGAACGCTCTTTCACAGGAAGCAGTTGACTCACCTTCTGTACATTTCTTTAAAATATTTGTATCATAGCTTTCTTGACCAGCTGCTTTGTGTGGCTTACCAGTGTCAATATAGAGTAGCCTGCTCTTCTTCGTTGATTTAGATTACATTTACATGTTCTAAAATGTTTATATTCAATATAAATATTTTAGAACATGGGTTATTTAATCAGGCCTTGTTTTTAAGCATTAGGCTACCGGCAATTTACATAGAAATTACGTACGCCTAGAGCATTTTCCAAGAAGCAGCTTATGATATTTTTTTAACTTTTAATTTGCTCTATTAAGCGATAAGATATAAGAAGTAATTGATTTTATAAAAAACCACTTTGATGATTTTGTAAGAAAGTTTGAATGACAATTATGTTAGATGTAAGCGCTATTTACTAATAAAAAAAACAAAAGCGCTATTTACTAATGAAAAAAATTAAAAACTGCAAAAACTTAATCTCTATTAAGCTAATTATTTTATCAAACAGAAAATAAAATTGTTTATAGTTAACGTTTATAGTTTTTTTTTTTTAATGCAAAGTTATTTAAAAAAAACATAAAAGAAATATATATAATAAAAACTTTTATTTATCATCTTGAGAGGACAGTATGCAACATTTGATTGGATTAAAAAAATTTACTTAAGTTTCTATATAGTAATAAATAGTTTATATTTATTTATTTTTTTATTCCAATGATGGATTATAATGTAATTTAATTCTGATAAAAAAATAAATGATTTAATTCAAAACTAATTTAACAAAAGTATATAATTTTATTCTTATAAAAAATATGTAATTTAATTTTGATTTAAATATATAAAATTAAAGTTAATGCTTGGGTTTAACTTAACTGTTAAATTTATTTAAAGATGATACTAAATATTGTTAAATATTTAAATTTTATTTATTCTTAAAAAAAAATTAGCTTGCATTTGTTATTTCGGTTTTCTTTTCTAAACATTTTTTTTTACTCAAAATTAAATATTAAATAAATGTTTCGATGCTAAATGTAAGTTAAACTATTTTTATAACGCAAGTAGAGTGCAGCAATTAATTTTTGATACATTATATATGATATAATTTTAACAAATGGTGTTTCAAAACAAAATCGCTAATAAAATAATAAACTTTTAATAAATAAATGTAGATAAATTAACATAATTTTTTTATTTGTTACTTGCTAATTTTTTTATAATAAATCTTTTTTAGTTACATTTTTTTAAATGATTTTTTAAGAAATAATGATTTAAAAAAAAATTAACATATTTTAATTCATTTAAACAAATGTTGAGAAAAACAATTTTTTACATGAAATTTTTTTTTTATTTTAAATCAAATTTATTATTTAATATAAAGAAAATGACAGAAGTAAACATTTCATAATAGTATTAATAAAAAGCGAGTTAAACAATATTTAACTTGTTTTGCGGTAATCTTAATATTATTGTAGTAATTTGAAAAAGTTGTCTTTAAAAATGTCTTTAAAAAATGAAAAGATAAAGAGAGTTTTATGACGTCTAATTCACATTAAGCTAATGCATTAAGCATTCGTTATTTAAAACAAGGCCTGATATATATATATATATATATATATATATATATATATATATATATATATATATATATATATATATATATATATATATATATATATATATGTATATATATATATATATATATATATATATATATGTATAATTTAGTAAAAACATTTATCTAATTTTTGTGCATGTTTCACCATCAGTAGGTTCATCAGGAAGCCATCACTATCACTATCACCATCATCATTGGTTTATCAGACTTCCTGATGAACCTACTGATGATGGTGAAACATGCTGTTGAAGAGCGCAAAAATTAGATAAGTGTTTTTACTAAATTATTATTGCTCTGTTCTTTAAGAACATTGAGCACTCTATTTGTAGAATACACTAACATAATTTATATAAATGTATACAAATAGTATTGTGTACTAAGGTAAGCAATTTGACGTCATACTGAAATAACCTGCTGCTTGGGGCTTCAGTACATACATCGACTGACAAATAGCCTGACTCGCAGTGGAGTGCTGCTACATCGACTGAGGGTTTGGGATCGGGAAGCAATCGTTTCATATATATATATATATATATATATATATATATATATATATATATATATATATATATATATATATATATATATATATATATATATATATATATATATATATATGCCTTGGTTATTGGATATTTTGATGGTCAAAATTCTGATGACTTTATCACTTAATCAGACAATATGAGATTTCAATCTGATCATTTTTAAAATTAAAAATAATATCAAATATTTACTTTATATATGTATCTTATTTAGTTATATATAATATCAATATTTGTCATTCAATGAATAAATGGTTGATGAATGGACTGAATGAATATTTATGATGTTTTGATACAATGAATAAGTATTATTTACAAACAATAGTTTTTGTAGCATTTAATGAAATCTTGATTCATGGGTTATTTAAAAGTGTTACTCGCCAAACTGAGAGTGATTTTTTTGTAAAATCATCTTGCGAAAATAATTGCAATCCCTACAAAAGCTATTGTTTTGATGTTGAGAATAGTGGTGTTACGAAATCAACTTGCTGTAGCTGCAAATGCGAATGGGGAAAAACATTTTATGGTATTGGAAAATCTGCATCCTGTGTTGATGATCTGCAAGCTTCAAATGGTAACTTTTATCTTTTTTTGTTTGTTTTTCTATAAATATGTAGGTTTTTATTTGTTTTTATAAATATTTTTGAAATTGGTGGGGAAAAAAAAATTAAAATTTAATTTCAAATTTAAATTGAATCCTTGTATAATCTTTTTATGATTCTTTTTTATTTGTCTTGTAACAAATATAAATCTAATGCAGTTTTAGGTATTTTAGAATTAATCTTTCATATAAGGGTAATATAATCAGCAGACTCATATCACCCCATGTTTTGAGTTTTCTAATTTTTACATGTTAAAGTGTTTGTAAAATTAGAAAAATCTGAAAGTTGGAGACCTACAACTCATTGTTTTTGAGATATTCAGGTTTCAAATTTTTTTATTTATGCTTACTCAGGTTTTTTTGCAACATACTTTTTTGTCATTAATTATCACAATATTTAATGAATAGTGTAAGTTATCAACCTGGATGTTTGATTTAAGTATTTTTTTTTTTTTAGAGCACCATGACTAATTGTAAATTCATTAAAAAATGCATTTTGGGATATTTTTATGGTAAAAATTAATGGTTAAACTTTGAGTTAACATAAATAAAAAAATTGAAACCTTAATATCTCAAGAACTGTAAGAAGTTGAAGGTTCTATCAAATTTTAAAAAATTTTTATAAACCCTATAACATACATATATAAAAAAAGTAAAATCCAAAACATTTTTTCAAAAAGTGCAAGTTACTTGAGGTTTTTAGTAGTTTTCTTAATCAGCAATTTTAAAGGAAAGTTTATGTAAAACTCACTGAATTGCCTATTTCTGCTAAAGTTTCTTTTTTCTTTTTTTGTAATATCTTTTGCTTTTCTTATTATTTCATATTTCTTTCTTTTGAGTTTTTTTCAAGCTCATTAACTTAAAATTTCTATTCTTTTAATTCCTTTTCCTGATCTGAACTTTAAACACCACATTCTTTTTGTTTATACAAGTCAATTATATGGCTCTTGAAGATGCTTATCTTACTCTGTAATTCATCTTGTGCTTTAGCTTTGTATTTTACATATTTTTTTATCACAAGTAGTACAGGATGGATCAGCTTCAAAATCGATTTTTATGTGGTCTTGTTAAATGCTTTGTGTTTGTTGTTTCACAACTTGAAATATTTTTACATTTGTAACTGCTTTTTTAGGAAGTACATTCACACTGTTCATATAGTGGCCTGCCCAGAAGGTCAATAATGTTGCCTTTTTTTTCTGTGTCAAGGCCGAATAATTATTTAACAACAAATCTACTTTTTTTGGCAAATCGTCCTCTTTTTTCAATTTATTCCAAATTTCATTTACCTTTCTTTGGCAGACTTGCTTACGCTTGTTGAGAAGTGCCTTTATGTATGCTTCATACAACGACTTGTGAAAGTTTGGTTTGTCCATTGTAAATCTAAAAAAAAAAGAAATAATTTAAAAATTGATTTGATTCAATTGTTAATAAATTTGTTAACACAAAAACAAACAATTAAGCCTAGGCCTATTTAATAATATTTAATAATTCTGAACATTCTAGACATGTAATGTATTAATAAGATATTAAATAAGTCCTCAATAAGTCTGTCAAAAATCGTGAAAATGCTTGCCCCAGTACCTATCAAATGAATAGGAGGGTACCCAGGAAAAAATAAATTTTATATAAAAGTTGTACCTGAAAATTAAAATAAAAACTACCCATATAAATTAAACGGGTAGTTTTTATTATTTTTTTTTCAGGTACAACTTTTATATAAAATTTATTATTTATAGTTTTCCTTTATTTTATTTTAAGTTTGTACCTGAAAATTAAAATAAAAAAAAGTTGTACCTGAAAATTAAAATAAAAACTACCCATATAAATTAAACGGGTAGTTTTTATTATTTTTTTTTCAGGTACAACTTTTATATAAAATTTATTATTTATAGTTTTCCTTTATTTTATTTTAAGTTTCCTCATTCACAAGTTTTAATTATGGCTGAGAAAAACTAACATGTCTTCTATTAATGTTAATGAAAATTTGTCGTTGTTTTTTTTTCTTCAAAAAAAAAACAACCTTTTTAAGAAGAATTTTAAAACCTTTTAAGTATAGTTTGCCTAACTGAAACTTGGATTTCTTTGAACGAGCTTTCAGATAATTAGGTGGAAGATGGAAATTCCAGTTTATGAAAACATCTTGTCATAGCGACTAACTGATAAATGAGTTGGAGGAGTTCTGATTTAGATGAAGAAAAACATTACACTTAACGTTAGGAATAATAAGTGGGTTTTGAAACTTTCCGAAAATTATGTTTAATGTTCTCAGAAATTCTTACTATGATAAAGAAATCGTAACTATTGAAATTTTTTACAACAAGATCTTCAAGATCTTTCACATACCAAGTTTATATTTTTAAGTTATTATATTACAATTAATCATCTGTAAATTATGAAATTTTTTTTTTTGGTGGATAATGCTTACCCATCATTTGATAAAGCAACCCGAGTAGTAACCAATGGGTACATGTGTACCCAACGGTTAGTCCTATATAATGTTAAATATTTATCATAATTTATGTACTGTATAGAGTCAGAATGTTCTTCTCACTTTTACTTTAGACCTAATCCAATTTCACAGTGAAAGTGAAAAAATAATTACTAATAGAGTCTAGTGTAACAAAATACTGCATTTAAAAATTTATATAAAGTGGTCAGCTATCTTTTAAGACAGAAGAGCTACTAACATCTTTGTTTTATTATTATAATCATATTTGTGCTGCATATTAAAATCAAATGAGCCAAATTTGGCTTGTGAACAGTAGGTTACTAACCCCTGGTATAAATATTTAAATAATATAATGTAAACTTTGTACTTACATAAACCTTTATTTGTTTTCACAGCAAACCAACAAACAAAATTTTTAAAAAAATAATAGTGTTACGAGTAAACGATGTGTGTGCATATTTTTTTCTGTATGTGTGGGGTATTTTTAAAACACAACATGGTTTTTAAAAAGTAGGAATATAATTAATTTCATTAAAATACTGAAGGTTGGGTGTGTAACACAAAACTACAAACACTGCCTAATTTTCATATTTTGAGTAACTACATTTATTTTTAAGAATAATGTTGTTAACGTCAACTTTTCTTGACCTCCCCTCCCCCTTGTCAAAAATTTCTAGACCCCTCCCTCTATTTTGTTGACGTAAATAATGGACAGTCACTATGTTTATTTTAGATGCACAAAATGGACAATAGAGATGGGTGGCTTGACATTTCCATTATGCAAGAGTACTGCTTTAAGGCTTCACTGCAATGAAATGATGAAGAGGCGCCAGTCAAAAGCCGCATACATCTGAAATGTTTCTGTGAATAGACTATATAAATCATGGCAATAACAAATAAAGCCATTTACTGTAAAGTATGTTGCTAAGTTAATATTCTGCTTTCTGTAGTAACTGATACAAACATTTTTATCAAGTAAATTGTTCTCCTGTAGTCTTGAGGCAAGAAGCTCTGCTTTCTCTTTAGACAGTAATAGGTCTCTAACAAGATCATTCAGTTGTCCTTGAGTTACAGCTTTGGCTCAAAATTTTTATCTTCTAATGTAATCAAGATCTCTAGACAGTACAGGACCCAAACATGTCTAAAAAATTATAAAAATTAAAAACAAGTTATTTACGTTTCATTATACATAATATGCGGAAAAATGTTCTATACCAACAGTCATTATCGGTACACCAACAGTCGTTTTAAAAATTTATTATGACTTACCTGAGTTCATGTTTCAGAATAAATTAAATGTAAAAAATTAAAAAAAGATTTTAAAAGACTTGGAACTTACGAATTTCACACACTAGTTTTTTAGTCTAATTAAAGTACTTCCCGCGTAATCTCTGGTGCCTAATTTACAATCCAAAATATCTTTTTTATTCAAAAGTAAGTCTCTTAGTTCATAATAAATATTCAAATGGCTCAAAACCTCGTATTTCATGTTTCTGTTAACAGTAAAAACAGTAAACCACCTTCATGACTTTATGGGTATGGCAAATGGCCATACCCATGATATGGAGTGAGCAGAGAGATTTAAGAGGCCAAGCAGAGCAGATTTGATGCAACATCCATGGTTTATTTTGGTCATCTAGGTGACAACCAAGATAAACCTGTGTGTTTGTTTATATGCTTTTATCATGAAAACTGGTGTTATCGTTTATTATGAATATTTTATCATGGTATTATGATTTTATCATAAATAATACTAAATCATAATCAGTGTTTGGAAGAACGCATTTCAAAACGAACGGATTTCTGGAATTAGTTCTTTTTTTGAAAAACGTAGCTAGGAACTGGTTCCTTTTAAAATAACAGAATGAGCAGGCTTGGTCGGGAAGCGGGTGCGATCGCACTCGATAACTGACCACGAAAATAATATTTAGTTGCGAAAAACCGGCCAGATTTTTTAGTCGTTTTAAGAACATTCAAGTTTACATATGTTTCCTTGTTTGTCCGAAAAATAATTAGTTCATTTTATCGTAAATTTTAATTTAATTTGTTTTACGGACTTACATGGAAACATACATAAACAAATGTTCTAAAACATCTTAGTGCGGAAAAATAAAAAAGTAATATTCGCGAAAACAAAAATCCTGCCAAATCTACAAACAACTAAATTTATTGGTTTAAAAAATACTAACCGAAATTTCTAGAGTATTCAAAAAATACTAACCGAATGTCCTGAGTATTCTGTTGAAATATTTAAAAAAATTGTATTATTTGAACTTTGTTACGTTTATGTTGAGATTTCTAGCATAAATTATTTTAAGAATATACTATCAAACAAACTATTATTTTAATTCTTGAAACCACATCTACAAAACTATAAATGTTTTAAACTAACATTTGTTTACAATAATAAATGTTTTTAATTTATATTTATTAACTTTTCAACGTTTTGTAAATATATTATAGATTTTATTAGTATATTCTAATTTTTTATATATGAGAGATGTATTTTTTATGTATGTAATGTATTTTTATGTATGTAATGTATTAAAATTATTAAGCTCACTCACTAAATATTATCAGCGGTATTGTGAAACCCGCTTCCTCCTCACAAAGTAATTGCACTTTTTAGTTAATTTCTATCTAGCTAATTGAATTTCTACAGTAACTCCATGATTTAATTATTTCATTTGTTCATCTTATTAAGATAAATTGTTTCAAATGTGTTAAACTTTTTAAACTACACGTAGCATAAAAAAGTTATTGAAACAACTTTTTTTTATTTATAAATAAATCATCTAGAGTTAGTTTTATTGGTTGAATTATGTTGGACTTTTCAGGGCCGGGGCTGCATTATTTTTGGCCTTTTTTATGTGCCACTGCGTAAAAATGACTAAAAAAAATATCAAATGGTCCTCTTGATTATTTCCCATAACATTGTGAGTCCCGGGGCTACAGCCTTACAGCCTACTACCCCCTACTACAGCCTACTACCCCCACCCCACCTCCTCAATCCAGCACTGGAAATAAGGCGTAAGTATATAAATAAAAATTATATATATTCATTGATAAATCGAAGAACATTTGTTTCTTTATAGTTGTTACTGTATATAAATTTATAGTTGTTACTGTATATAAATTTTGCTTAATTTTATAAAAAAAATTATAAAAGAGCGACGTTTTTAAAATAATTGCTCTAATAAATTTGATTTGCTTAAAGTTTTTTCGCATTAAAAGCTATTTTTCTTTTTTTAACTGTCTCTCATCGGTCCAGTTAATCTTATTGCGCTTTTTTGATTGTTTTTGAAATGTTCTCAAAACGACTAAAAAATCTAGCCGGTTTTTCGCAACTAAATATTATTTCCGTGGTCAATTATCAAGTGCGATCGCACCCGCTTCCCGACCAAGCCTGAATGAGGAAAGAGAACGAATTCTTTTTTTGAAAGAATGTGAATGAAAAGTAATAGTTTCCAAAAACTTTTTAAATTTGGATTTCGCTAAAGTTGTTTTTACGGTTCAAAAGGAAATAACGTTATATTTAGATCAAATCAAATCTATGTTTGGTTTCAGTTAGCCAACAGCTTTAACTACAAATTTTTAAACTAAACCAATTGTTGGTTAGTTCGGAATTAGTTTATATTTAGTTGGCCATATATACTAAATTTTAAACAATATTGGTTACCAATACAGTTTTAAAGTTAGTACATGTAACTAAATCCGAAAAATTTATTTTTTAAAATATAATTTTCAACATAATTTTATTGCACGAGGTTCTAGTTTGCAAAATGGATCCAGTTATTGAAATTATTGGATTTTGCAGTTATTGAAAATATTATTGAAAAAAAGTTATTGAAATTATTATATCATTTATATTTGTATTAAGTACATGCTGATGCAGACTAGGCGAGCAGGATACCATAAATAAAACTATTTCAAATAATTAACTAAATAAAACACGTTAAAAAAGCATTGCTTGCCAAGCGAAACAATAAATTACTATTACAATTTTCAAAATAAAAAATATTTATTAAAAAAGGAACAAAGCAGGAACAAGTTCTCTTTATTAAGGAACATGGAGCGATTTCCTTTTTTGACTGAAGAATGAGGAACTGGAACTAGTTTCTAGGGTATCTAGGGGAACAGAACAAGATTTTTTAAAAAAGGAACTTTCCAATCACTGATCATAATACATCATCATCATACTACATTTATTGTTATAAAACAATAATGAGATTTGTGTTTTAGCTTATGTATTATATTAATATAAAACTTTGCTTAAAGTTCAAACTAAAAACTAACAAGAAAATCCATTTAAACTGGTATATATACAAAGACTAGATAAAAGATTATGACAGTATTTTTTACCCAATCATAACATTAACAAATAAACAAAAAGCCGTATAATTAAATAATTAACTTTTAACAAAAATTATATGTTCTACAGAAAATATAATTGCAATTTGAAATCAGCGTCAAAAATTATATACAGTCAATCCAAAATTATCTCTGATGAAAAATCTTTGTAATGATATATTGAAAAATATTGATAAATTATGATGGATATAATGATAGATATATTTTAATGAATTAAATTAGAATAGTAAGAATAAATGGTATTAGAAACAGTGTGTAATAATAAAGTTATACAATTATTAACAGAAATAGTTACTGCAGTTCACAATATCCACAAAACTAACTTAAGCAACACATCAAGTTATCATGAAAACAGTTTAAATAATCAAATGGGGGATTAAAGTACTTCCCATGGTATTTCCCATCCCTTAATCATTATTACATTAAGAGAGAAAGCTGAGAAAATTTTCAAGAATATTGAGCAATTGAACATTGTTATTAAAGAGAACTATCATTCTGTACATGATACAATTGGCATCATTTAATCATTTTACAATCAAATTTATTTTTTACAACACTCTTAGAAAAAAAAAGCAAGCATCAGATTGGATACCCCACAAATCAACCAATCAAAAGAATAGAGTTGAGATATATAAGGACCATTTATTCCTATTCAGAAACAGTCTATGGAGACAACTTGATGTTGTTAGAGGGGATGAGTTTTGGTTTTGTTTAAGACAAGTCTGACACAAGTCAGCTATTACTAGTTGAGTTGATGTGAATATGCAAAAATAATAGTATGACATGCCAGGTTTGTAATAAGAACATATTCTACATCTTCTTCAAAACAACGGGTGTTGTTCATTTAGAACTTATGCTGAAAAGGGGATACCAACATAACTTACTCAAGTAAAATACATATTGTTTATATTTAAATAAAAATTTAAGTTAATATAACTTTTTTTTTAAAGGAAAGACATTTAAATCAATAAACCCAAAGTTTTTAATTAAAAGCAGTATTTTTTTTTGGTTTTTATATTAAAAAAAACCATGTTTTATTAATTTTTTTTTTTTTCAACCCTGGTTTAAAGAAAATATTTTTTAGACTTTTTTAACTTGTTATAATTTTTTAGACTTTTTTAGACTTTTCTTAACTTTTTATTTAATGTTTGTTTATTTGTATTATAATATTATGTTAATTAATTATCCAGTTAACCATTAAGTAATGGTTAACTGTTTTAATATTTTTTGGTTTAACAAGTAATTTTATTTTAATTTTTAAATTCAATTTGTTTTAAAGAAATTAAATGTTAAAAACAATTAGTTTAAAATAAATTATATGTTAAAACATATTAAATGTTTTCTCATTAATAGATCAATATACCTTGTTTTCTCATTAATAGATCAATATACCTTGTAACATAATTGTCATGTAACATAAAGTTCTTCAATTGTTTCTTAAAAAACAATTGAAAGGCTATCAATTAAAATTACTGTGTGATAAAGTCAGAAAAAAATCTGTCGCAAGTCATCCATTTCATTTTATTTAATTCAACATATTTTTTTTGAGTACTATCTTTGTGAAATGATACATTTTACAGTTCTAGTTGTTTTATTATAGACACTAAAAATTGTTCAATAATTTTTTCTCTATTTGTGTCATTGAAAAAATATATATTTAATGATGAATTGGACTGTTACTCCATACTATAGAGTGATTAACGGAGACGTAAAACCTTGAGTGGGTTTTCCTTAGATTTGCAATTTTCTAGAACTTTCGCTTACTAATGAAATTCAAAATGAGCTCTTTTTTGATATTAATAGTTTTGAAATAAACCATGTAATTTTATTATGTAAAGTTAGTATCGCTCAGGAGTATTTAAACATTATTAATGGTCATTCAATATCAGTTTTTGTGTTAACTATATCTTGAACAGAAATAAGTTTAGGTCTGACTGCAAGATTTCATGCAATAGTGATTTTAAAAGCCCTAACTGTTGTCCTCATCTGCCTCTAAGTTATCAATTGAAATTTCTTCAAACTGAGCCACTAATCATCAAATTGTTGGTGATAAGGGCGGATTTTGTCCTGATTGTTTTCAAAGTTTCAAATTGTTGTCAAAATTCACTTTGTGTTACAACAATTGAATAATTATTTTGTGTATGCATATTTAATAAGTTGTTATGGATTATATTGATCTATTATAAAGTTTATAAAGAAAAATATAAAAATTAGAACAATTGTAACAAGATACAAATAATTATTGTATGGTTAATATTAAATTTTATCTATAATTTGCTTATTTTTTTAAGGTTTTTTTTTTTAATTTTTGATTATTGATATTTTTAATTAAAGCAGTATTTTACTTTTTCCAACTAAAAATGCTTTTTAATGTTTTAGCTGTGTTCTTAAATTTTTTTATAATAATCAAGCTTTCTTTTGTATATATATATATATATATATATATATATATATATATATATATATATATATATATATATATATATATATATATATATATATATACATATACATATACATATATATATATACATACATACATATATATATATATATATATATATATATATATATATATATATATATATATATATATATATATGTATATATATATATATATATATATATATATATATATATATATACCTATACATATATATATATATATATATATATATATATATATATATATATATATATATATATATATATATACCTATATATATATATATATGTATATATATATATATATATATATATATATATACCTATACATATATATATATATATATATACATGTATATATATATATATATGTACATATATATGTGTATATATATATATATATATATATATATATATACATATATATACATATATATATATATATATATATATATATATATATATATATATATATATATATATATATATATATATATATATATATATATATATATATATATATATATATATATATATAAGCATACATGTGTGTAAAGCATTTGTAATTATTTATTTAGACTGTAGATTTCAGGTTGTTAAACAAAATGAGCAAGAAAAAGTATTTTCTGTTTCAATTTCTAAAAGTTATAACAAAGGTATTTACGAAAGCATTGGATCAATTAAATTAATTGATAAGCAAACACTTATTAATAGTCTATCATGCAGTTTACTATTAAAGAAAACTTCATTTTGGGAACCATTTCAATGGACATCTTTTGTAGAACCTCAAGCTGTTTTTAGGCTCAATAGTAATACAAATTTATTAGAGGTGATTTTTTTTTAATTATTTTTTTGTTGATAAGCTCTCCTAAAACAAACATGATAAGCCATGCGAGCTGCTCCTCTAAATAGTTTCTTATGAGATATTTTAGTTTTTGCACTATTTATTTATTAAAAAAATTGTTTGTTTAATATAAAACTTTTTTTTATACTTGTTACAAGCATATATCTGTAACGTTAATGTTACTAGAATATATACATAACAAGCGTCATTTATTGCATTGTCAAAAAATTGTTTAGAGGAGCATTGTCTTTGGGTTTTCACAGTAGCTATCCATTTATTTACTAACAACATTACTTATTTGATAAAAAGTTTGAAAAAGAGTTATAAAGGTTTTTACTGCTTATAAAAAATGTTTTTTATTTTCTTACTGTAATAGAATGCAAGAATTTTAAGAATTATTACAACAATTAAAATCTACTGTAAAAGTGAATAATATGTTAAAGTGATTGATATATAAAATATATAATTAATTATATAAATTAAAAATTGTTATGCAATAACTTGATATATACTAATCATAGTTGACAACCAAAATAAAAATTTTTAAAATTTAATAATAAAGTTATATCCATAGACGAGGTTTCTTTATTTAATTATAAATTTTTTTATATATCTTTTATATTCTTCTTTATAAGATGTCATTTAAAGTTTGTAATAATTAATGTTTTTTAATTTTTTTGATAAAATCAATCATTATAACAAAACAAACAAAAACAATTGAAATATCAAAAGCGGCGCTAATTAAAGTAAAATTTATCGTGTACTATTTTTTAGCAATTTTTTCTTTCTTTAATTTGGTAATTACTTTTGTTATTGTTTGTTGTGAGAAATTGTCTAAATATTCTTGCGCTTGCAAGATGATAAAAAAAGTTTTTTTATTAAATATCTTTTTGGATTTCTTTTTTTATGTTTCATATAACATTCTTTTTTTTTTCTTTAGCTAAACATTTTTGACGTAAAAGTTAGGTTAATAAAAATTTCTTTGTTTTTTTTTCACTTGTTATATTTGTAAATAGCGCTAATATCAAATGTAATTGTTATTCAAACTTTTTTAAGTAATTGTCATTCAATTTTTATTAGTGGTCTTTATAAAGTTAATTACTTCTTTTATCCGCTTAAACAATATCATTAGACATTTAAATAATAAAAGTTGCTAAAATGTGGCTTGACTGAAAAAAAACTTGCTAACTTGTGCAGATAGTAATGTGGCAAACAACTAGACAATTTTAAGCATATCTTGATGTTCCACAATTCACCTAATGTATAACCCATAATTTTTGATAAAAAATATGCTCTAATGTATCTGTTGCATTTTTCTGGACCATACATTATTTCGAATGCTTCTCTAACTAGCTTGATATGTCTTTCTACTGCCTGGCTGCTGCAAAGATAGCGGGCAAAATCCAATCTCGGTATATTTTGTTTCTGGATCATAGTTAACAAAGTATTTCCTTCATTGTTCCTTGCAATTAAAAGCTCTGTGATCAGAGCTTTCTGCCAATCAATTGTATGTATGTAGCTAGTAGCTCCAAAATTGATTACTGGTGCACAGGAAGGTCTTACTGAACTTGTATGTTTTGACTACTGATTTTTTTATGCGTTGCAGAGCTAACTTGTGCATATCTAATCTTTCATCTGTAAGCATAGCGAAGATCAGATTTTCCGGATGACTGAAGAATGTGTTGCATTAAAAGGTCAACAACTTTCTTAAACTGTCTTTGAGTGTAACTTTAGTGTCTCACTGCAAAAATGTCAAACATCACTTTTTCATGAAGGAGTATTTTTTTAAGTCACATGATTTGGTGCGTAAACTGTTACAATAAAGGTAACAAGGGTCTTATGTTCATCCAACAGGCTTTTTGTAACAATATAGAGATGTAATATGCAATTAGCCATTCTTAAGCACCTTGAATAGTTGGTAAGACCAGGATTGTTATAAGAATGGTTGACAGGAAAATCTTCAACACCTACAGTAGTACACAAATTGAACAGGTATTTTTTATCTGTACTTTAGTAATTTAGGTTCTTTGAGATATTCAAACAAATGTCTTAGCGGTAAGTCATTTGAGTGTAACTGATATACAAACTGTTGCAGCTATTGTCTGTGTAATGTGTCACTTCAAGCAATTAAATGAGGTCTCCTCGAAAGCCCATATTAGTGTTCCATCACAACCTACAGCTTTTATTCCACTTGTGTCAACATTTCTTTTATTCAAATGTGCAATGAACTCAGCTACAATAACTTTGCCTGACCTTTTTTTTTTGGCAATTGGTGTAATGTGACCAAAACTGTAGATTCTGATTTGGCCACAATCGATTAAAGCCATTAAAATATAACCTAGTGATTTTGTTACTCAGTCTAGCACATAATACACCACATTATTTACAATGTTTTTGTCATCAATTTTCATCATCATCTTTATGAATTATTATAACATCTTGAAGAACAGCACTTGCGATTCCTGCTGCCGCCCTGTCAGGTATGCTATGGCAGTAGCTTAACTCTCATCTGCTTGTCATTAAATTTTAGTTGTTATTTATCAGAGCCCATACAATTATCATCCGAGTTGTCATTGTTGATATCAGTTTCCTTTTCTGTATAAGAAATCTCATCACAGACATCCGACTGTTTATGATCTATGGCATTGATTGCTGCATATCTGCCTTTGTGTGGACTCTTTTTGGCTATACCATTTTTTTAATCTAATCGATTCAACCTCATCAACTCCTGGGAACCTCACTGATCTTCTGGAAAGTCACATTCAATCGAGATATGCAAAAAAATTTGCATATCTAAATTAGACAAAGTGAATGTTAAAGAGTTTGATTGATTTATCTTTAAACTGCGATAATTTAAATTATTTATCACTAACAAAACTACATTAAGCAATTAAACAAGAATAAAATGTTATGCAATATGTATGCAATAATACATGTGAATTAACAGGAAATACTGTGTGCAAATGCATAGAATATATATATATACATATATATATATATATATATATATATATATATATATATATATATATATATATATATATATATATATATATATATATATATATATATATATATATATATATATATATATATATATATATATATATATGGGGTGACAAGGATGTAGATGCAAAGACGCATGATTGGATCCATCACTGAACTACCGCGATCTTTAAATGCCATGGTATACTATGTTATATATATATATATATATATATATATATATATATATATATATACACAGTACCATACCTATAAGTGATAGCTTGGGCGGTACCAGTAAAAAAATAAATAAAAAAAGGTCCTTTAGAATAAAAAATAGGGACTTTCTTTCCAAATATTCCTCTAAATAAAGTTATAACATTAAAACATTATTTATGGGCGACCCCCCATAATTACATTTACAAACGATTTGTTTTGCTTAAACAAAAGTATTAACCAAATAAGATTATAATTCAAAATAAAATAATAATTAAAACAAATAATTACATCCTTTTATTTGTTTCAAATGCATTACAGCAAAGTTTTTTCTGCTTTGATATGACCATTAGTGACATAAAAGTAGTGGAGTTTAGAGATACTTACACTTTTTTTATTTTTTTGCTGGATATTTTGTGATATTTTCATGGCACAATTGCATGCTGACTTTTTTTCTTCTGACAAGTATAGAACATAATTGTCTTGAAGAGAATTCACAAAATTGTTTGTTGATTGAATTTCAATTTCTCCTGATTTTGTTGTTTGCTAAATGCTTAATAGTAGCTCCATTGCCATCGACGATACTCTGTGTATTGTTAAAAAAAAAAAAAGCCAAATTATCATTTTGTTAAATTTTTTTTCAAGATGCAATATTGCACTTATCACAACTTTATTTTTAAATGGTGTAGACATGTTGTCGTCATAGAGATGTAGCATTATCCCTAAAAATGTGAATTTTTTGGGTATTAAATGAAATACTCCAATAACTTATCCGAATTTGTAAGTAAGGAGGTCATTGTGTGATCCAGAAAGTCAGATGCTATGATGAAAGTTTTTTCCAGATTGCTGCAGTGAAAAGAAAAATTTGATGTTTTTCCATTAATATTTGTCCATAGTGTGCAGCTTGAGGCTCATTTTGACAAAAACACTTTAAATTTTCTGCTTAATCAAACTGAATAGTAGCAACATTTGGCAATGAATTCATGGGTTTAATAATGCTTAGTTTAAAACTTTTAGAATGGTTACTCTTGATACTTGCATGAGTTGTGAATTTTTCTCACATAGAAAGTAATTAAAGTATATATTTAAATTAAAAAATATATATTTAAATTATTTTAAACCCCTTTGGAGTTGCGATGAAAAATGTGTTTATTTTGTAAGCAACAAAATCTTTACGAAAAAACTAAAATTTTAAAGTTATAACATTACACAAATTCAAAATTAAAATGTGCTCAAACTAAACATCATTATTCAAAACTTTAAATGTAATATAATATTTTTTTGTACATATTATTAAAAAATTTAAGTTTTTTAACTAAATTTTAGAAAATCAAAACTTTATCACGTTTTTGTTAACTTACATTTCATGAAAGTTGCAAAAGTTCTTCCATTATTTTATTGATATAAATTTTTTCAAAGTATAAAATCTGAATAACAAGCAATTGAACATGTTAGTTCTATTTTGACACTAAATTAATTCTGATTATGCAAATAAATTCATGGTTAAAATAACATTTTACTATGTAACTTTTTTTTATCGTGCAATAAAAAGAAAAACTTCTGGAAGCATAAAAATGACTTAAATAAATTATATTTAGTATTAAAAGTATATTTTAGATGAATTTTAATGTGCCCACATCAATACTAATTAGCTAAAAGTTGACAAAAAAGAGAATAAAATTAATTATATATATATATATATATATATATATATATATATATATATATATATATATATATATTAAGTCTATTGCGCATATAAGCGCATGTTTATTTAGCCCATGTTTGGCTCATTATTTTTATTATTTAAGGTATTTATACATATGTAGCAAATTAAGTCAAACAAAGTTATTTTACATTTATTTTCATTATAAAGTAATATATTTTATTCTGAAAATGGGCAGAACTTTTCAGTAGACCTAATATATATATTAGGTCTACCGAAATATACAGTGGTGTGAAAAACTATAAATGCTTAGTGGTGTGAAAAATTTTAGAATCAACAACTTAAAAGTTCTCATGTAAAATAATTTGTAAGTTCTTTATATTGTCTAAATCAAACACTTTATTTATACACATTTTAGTTAAACAAACCTTTTGTTAGTGTGTCATTTTTAAATTTTAGGCACATTTCCTTGTTTTTAGGATCATAAACATTATTTTTTCATACATTAGTTAAATTCAAAATCAGTGAGATTTTGCAAGTTTGTTTATGCTGTGAAGCTTTCTCCATATTGATAATTTTTACATTTTGAATCTAACTCTTATCTGATAAACTTCTAGACTATGGAAGCTCAAAAAAAAATTTATCAAGGCTATCATTGGCTAGACCATATGACATATGTCCTAGATCACAATATGTAACAAACAAATTAAATTAGTAACATTATTTTTAAAAAATCTAGGTTGCATATAAGATAAACTGGGCAACAATGTGTTCAATAAAATAATGTGATTCAACTTGGTTTGGTGCAAACAGTTTGTGTTAAGTCATAACAAATGTTGGTATTCCTATCCTAATAGAGATATTTGGCTTTTTGAATACTCAGCAGTGGCTACTTGCTTAGTCTCAAAAAATATTTTTTTTGTTTTTCTTACAGTAAACCAATCAAAATAGTAGATGTTATTATGATACAATTTTTTAATTGCAGTTTGAACATGTTGGGGTCGATTTCAGCTATATAATGTTTTTTTGGATGACATAAACTACCTACTAACTGTAAACTACTTTTTTGACAGTCTTTATCTGAGAATAAGGTTTTAGTAGGGTAACTAAGGCAATGACATTGATTATGAAGTTGTACTTGTACTAAGAATCTCAGAACACTTATCATCTGTTTACAAATAAAATGCACAAAGTGTCTTTATGTTGCTTATGCACATACTTTCCTAAAATTATTAAAACTTTACATAATTATAAAACATGAATTTATGCACATACTTTTCCACATTTATTAAAACTTTACATAAACATAAAACATGAATTTATGCACATACTTTTTCACAATTATTAAAACTTTACATAAGCATAAAACATAAATTTATGCACATAATTTCCTACAATTAATAAAATTCTATGTAAGCATAAAACATGTGAAAATAGCCATGAAATCGTATGAGTATTTTAAAAAAGTAATAAAATCATGCAAACCTAAAAACTTTAAAAAGTATTAAATTCATGCAAACCTAAAGCTAAAAGCTAAAAGAACTTTTAATACACTAGTTAAAATCTCAACTTTTTTTGTACTTTCCAAAAGTAACTAGTAGCGTAACATAAATTTTTTTTTTTTTTTACTTGTATCAATTTTAAAAACCTAAACACACATTCTAATATTTTTCACACCACTGTATATACACAAATCTTGGCGTATAAATGAGTGTGGGAGCTGAGAAAAAATCTTGTAAAATGGACATAGCAAGCCAAGAAAAATGTTTGCCAAGGCGGCTTTATGCAATTGACATTTGATGTCATAAAAACTGTACTTTTAAGTACATTCTTAATGATATCTAACATCAATTGCATAAAGCTAAATTCATTGTGTTTTACTCAATGATGATAATTATAATATTAGAATGTAAGTGAAAACATGAACATGTTTATAAAAAAAAGTTCAAGTATACTAAATAAAATTCTTTCTTTAAAGAGTTCACTTATTTAAAATGTTGTCAAAGCTGTTTATAAATAAAAAAACAAAGCTGCTTAAAAATATTAGAGAAACCTGTAAATCTATTAAAAAGATTTAATATATTATGAAAATATAAGCTGATATAATTTATTTTTTATATTTATAATATAACCATGTAAAAAGGAAAATAATATATGAACATAAAATACCGGAAAAAAACATATACTGAAACCTTTTAGTCCCTGTGTAATAAATATTTTTGTTAATAAGGTGTTAAAAGTTCGAAGTGTTAAAAGTTCAAAAAGTTCAGAGATCAGGAGGTAATCCACTGGTATTTAGGGTGGTAGCCTTCCTATCAAAGACCAACAATCTTAAATATGAAAGAGAAATTGTGAACTATTTACCTCGGCATCATTTTTTATTAAATCGTACAGCCAATTTATGGAACACTTTACCGGAAACTGTTGTTACTTCAAAAACCATCAATCAATTTAAGAATAGATTAGATGAGTATTATGCATAATTATACTCATCTAATAATAATTAAACACATAATTTTTCAAGTATTTTTAGTTTATTAAAGCGATAACTTCAAATAAATTCAAAATTTTTGATGCCTTTACTTTATTTTTGCTTTTTGATGTTTTTACTTGTCGCTCTTTATTTTTTAGAAAAATTATATGGATAAATAAAAAATAGGAAATTATAAAAATAAATAATTACATGGATAAATAAAAAATAAAAATTACAAAAAATATTAATTTTATTTAAAAAAACATAACGTTGGTATTTGTGGTTCTTTTTTTACTTGAAAAAATATTGTATTTTTCAAATTTTTTAAAATAAATTTTACCGTTTAAGTGCTTTGCACTTATTTAGAGTGCCCACTTGAAAAGTGTTAGTCAACTAAAATCGTCAAAAAAGTTTATAAAATGTTTTGTTTTTTTTCATACTAGTCTATAGCTTCATTAGCTTATCTTATTGATTCTGTAGGTTCAAATTCACTGTTTAGAAAAAATTTTTTTTTTTTTTTTCAATTTTGCTTATTTTTTAAATACAAAACAAAACAATTGAAGCAAAAGACTTTACAATTTACGTTTTTTTTAATGAACTCTTTGTATAGAGTTTTTGATGAAGTCTTTGTAAAGTTTAACAGAAAGGTGTGAATATGACATCATGTTTTATGTTATCTTTTGATTTAGATGAAAAATATCGAACTTTATAAAGGTTATTTATTCAAGTTATTCCTATCATGCAACAATGTTACTTCATGTTTACTGTTGAAAGTGGTGGGACAAACATTTTGTAAGTTTTTGTACTTAATTTTCACTGAGATCAATGAACGATCGTTTTGGCTTGTATTACTCAATCATTTTAATGAAACTTTCCTATTTTTTTAGATTCTAAGTTTTAATTTTAAAGTTGTAAAAATATTGTTTTAAATCTTCCCTTATAGTAAAGAGATTTTTATAACCAGTGATACAGAGCAGAATTTTACATTTTATTTATATTGTTAACATGATAAGTTTTAATACTAAAGTTTTTCCACAGTTTACGAGTTTCTTATACTCATTCTCATAGTGTGTATGAACTTTTTTTCATCTGTGAGCTGTTTTACCAACCACATTAAGTTCCTACTTTTTTTTTTTTTTTCTTTTTTTTTTGCGCTCTTTAAATAATGTCTTTTTAATTTTGTAAATGTTTTATCTTTTAGTTTCATATTGTTAATACATTTTGTTTAAACATTGTTTATAAAATGTATTGTTATAAAACATTTTTTTAAACAATGTTATTAATATAGTTTAATCGTAATAAATAATCTAAAAAATATTTTGTTATATTTGTTTCTGTGTTTACAGTTCAAATAAAACCAGCTGGTAGTCGCACCACATTGAGTCCTGCTTTGAATGTAACTTTAGTAAGTTATTTATATATAACTTCATAAAATTATTTTATCATTGGTTTATTTGTCAAAATGTTTTATTAAAGTATTTAAGCCAATTATATAATAGAATTTGAAGTTTTTTATTATTACCTTTAATCTTTTTTTTTTTCCCAGTATTTAGTTATAATTTTTTTACTCAATCAAGTGATTGGAGACACCAATTCCTGTTTTGTTAAACATAAAGTTATACAGGATTTTGCTGCAGCATGTTAAAGTTAGTAAATCTTTGTTTATGGTCGTAAGACCATAAGCAAAGATTTACCAATTTTAGACATTTTGTATGAAGTTTTGTGTTTTGGGCTATAGTGTGTATGGGCATGTTGCAATGCACAACAGCAATCTTATTCTTTATTATTATAATTTGTTAAGAGTTTTTGTAGTAAATGATAGGAAATATAATTATTGAAGTGAACCATTATGGTTTAGTCAATCTTTTTTCATTTTATTTACATTAACAACTTTTTTTAATTTTTTTTTTATTTAAGAAAATGTAAAACTTTTAATTTTTTTTTTTTTTTTCATATTTATCTAAGTGTAGTAAATTAAACTTTTTTTTCTATTATACCTTTGGGTTTGAAAGAAATACCTGTGCAACGATTTCTTTAACAAAAGTGACGTTTCAATGGGAAAGGATGCATTAATATTGATTGTCTGGAAGGTCATTAATATAGATTAAAAACAATATTGGACATAGGGACATTTTTTGTTCATTTCACAAAAACAAGTTTTTTCAGAAAACTATCAAATTGTTTGTATTTATGATTATTCAAACGAGGAAAATCAATTCTAGTCAGATTATGGATAAAAAATTTGACCAAGTTTGTACTCATCAATATTAGTACTTAGTTCAGAGTTTATGGGATGCTCAACTGCTTCAAATGTTCTAAATACAGTATCTTAGCATACATCTACATACATATCTCAGCAGCAGATAACAATGTTAAAAGATAATAATGCGAAAATATGAAATTTAAATTCATTTAAATATTATTATTTTTCAGTGTTCCTTTATGGGAACAGTAGGTGTATAAAGGATCATTTATGGGAGCATTAGGCGTATAGGTTCTTATAAAGGTTCCTTTATAAGAACCTTAGGCATATAAAAAGACTATATATATATATATATATATATATATATATATATATATAAATATAAATATACATATAAATATATATATATATATATATATATATATACATATATATACATATATATATATATATATATATATATATATATATATATATATATATATATATATATATATATATATATATATATATATATATATATATATATATATATATATATATATATATATATATATATATATATGCAGTGGTGTACACTGGATTTTTAGATGTTTGAGTTTTGACACTTACACGTATTTTGCAAACTCCAAACTTTTGTATATTCATACTTATGTAAAATGAGAATGTTTTCTAAAAAGTTGTAGTGATTGAAGCTTGGGCACAAAAAACCCCAATTTTCAGGCCCACCCAGCCCTTAACGTGGGAGCAAAAAGTTGACAAATAATTTCTTTAGTATTTTTATCTAAGTTTATATTCATCAACGAATTTCAAATTTCATGCAATAACCTCTTAGTTTTTAGTTTTTATGACCCTACAAAGTTTATAGCCCCCTCAAATTGAGGGGGGTTAAAACTTTATATGGTCATTATTTTCAAAAAATAAGAAATTATTGGATGAAATTTGAAATTTGTTGATGAATATAAACTTAGAAAAAAATACTAAAAAAATTATTTTATCAACTTGTTGCTTGCACAATAAGGGCTAAGTGGGCTCAAAAATTGGGGTTTTTTGTCCCCAAGCTCCAATCACCACAACTTTTTGCAAAACATTCTAATTACTTTATTAAAATATCGCCTAGAAATATATTTTTTAAGTAGTTTTTTAAGTATAATCAAACAAAAATATTTTTAAAATAATGTAAATAGTGTAGTCTGACATGAAAACACATTTTGCATACATGAAATGCACTATATCGCAAGACCTAATAAAATGTGTATAACTTAATGCTTCATAACAAAGATTGCTATGCAAAGCTTGTAGTTAGTTAGTTCATTGATAAGAAAATAAAATTTAAAAAATAACAAGATATAAAAAGCTTCTTTAAAATTTTTGAAACTATAATTTTTTTTAAAGTTTAGTTTTTTTACTCTATTGAAGTTATATCTATATCATTTCTTAAAAGTAGTTTTGTTTTAGAAATAGGGCATGCTAATTAAATTACAATTTTTTTTCCCTTTAGATTCCAGTAAAAACTAAACCAATGTTAACAAAGAAACAAAAATCCACCAGAAATATGATCATCATTATTGTAGCTATAGTCATCTTTTTTATCATTATGTTATTCGCAGGTTTATTGGTGTTTCATAAAAGAAAATTAAAAAGGTATTTATTGTCATATATAAGTATTATATATAAAAAAATATTAACTAACAAATAAATACAAATCAATAAAAATGATTACAAAATGACTAGTACAAAAACACTTATTAAGTTTTTATTTAAGTCTATTAGTTTTGTTCTCTTTTGATACAAATATGTTATTATACATTGTTTAATTGACCAAACATATATAATTAAAGTTCTTTAATTATATAATTGTAATTGAGTTTTTAGATACTCCATTAAAATATAAATTTAGGCTAAAAGTAGGTTCAAATCCAAAAAAATTGTCCTAGTCATGTCATGTTGCCATGTCATACCTTATCTTTCTGGAACCATACTGATCTCTATTTTCAGAAAATTTCAAGGTCCAAGATAAAAAATGCATTTTTATTGCAACAACAAGTCTAATATTTTTCTTTATATGCACAATAAATATTTTATTAATTATTTCAAAGACTACATATTTTTAAAATCTTTCTAAAGTCTCAAAATGTTCACAAATAAACAAAGTTTTCATTTGATTGGTAATATGTTCTCATTTCAAAAATGTTCACAATAATACAGAGTTTGACTGAGCTTTTATTTGATGCGTAATTGATGGCTGATGGGTAATAAGTTCTAATATTAATAATGGTTACTTAGTTATTAAAAAAATTATTGATACAAATATTTACTTCTTATTGTTAAAGAAACAGATGCATTGGTTAAGCTAAATATTAAAGGATGTTTGAAACTATTTTTAAATTTATTTTCTTGATAAAGAGGGAAATTGAAACAACTAATTTACTATGTCTCCAATCAAATCTTGAAATGTGCGTGTCTACTGTTATAAACTGTAACTGATCTCAGCAGCCTCAGTAATAGTTTGTGACAGCTTGGAACTTTTTATCCTTTTTCATAGAATTGTTTGAAGTCATAATTAACATTTTCTGGAATCAGACATTGATTCCAGAAGGTAAATAAATGGCATTTAATTTATGATTTTCTTTTAACGCAATATTTACTTGTAAGCATAGCAAAAAAAAATTTCTGAAAATTAACTATGCAAAAAAAAAAAAACAGGTTTAAGGAATTTTTTCATCAGAACAAAGACAACACAAGTCAATTTTGTTTTTTGTACAAATGCTATTTGAATTGTTGGAAAGTGTTGCTCCTACAGTCATACTTCCAAGAGTTTGATTTTAAAATGAGCTTATGAATTGTGTTCTAATTGATTCCATTTAAGCGTGCTATTAATCAATATTAACTAGACTATTCAACTACTTTTCAACTGTTTGAATTTTGAGTAATAAAATAATAATACTCGAATACTCTAATAGTTTATCAAAAGTAGTGTATAATGTATTAACAAAAATGAAGAATAATTAATTAATTATAAATGATTCTATTATTATTTTAAATATTTTTTCTAAAAACATTTCAAGAATAAAAGCAAATTGAATGTTTAAAACTTAAACATGTTCTTTTTTTTTAATCTCCTGTTGAGAATGCTCTTTCTGTTTGAGTTGGGCAAAATATTTTAAAGGGTGATACAAAACTTGCAGGGTTATCTACCCTTTTTTAAAAGAATTTAACAGACAAATTTCTTTTTTCAGTTCAATATATTTATCAATTTAGCAATGGCTATAAAAAATAAATATTTAAAATGATCAATAGAAGTTGGCATTTCTCTACTCTGTAGATAAATTTGTTAAAAATTAGATTTAATAAATCAGTATTCAACGTCATAACATATTCATTTTATTCATTGAAATCTAAACTGTAATGGGAAGGCTAATCTTCTATTTCTTCTTCCATATCATCACCAAACAGGTCTTCAATATTGTCAAGCACTTTGTTAAGAATATAATTTTTTTAGAATTTTATTAAGAATTTTTTGCTGTATAAATACAATCCATCACTGTTAAGTGCACCGCAAGATAATGGCTAAGTTGGTTTAAAACACCTTTTTATTACCATATTTTTTCATTATAGCTGCTGCATTGTTAGTTAATACAGTAGCATCATTAGTGTCAACCAAATGTTTAACTGTTTCTAAATTTGCCTTTTTAATTATTTCCTCCAAACCCAGAACTTAGCATTTAATTGTATTAGTGTCTATTCCAAGTACATGAGCTGTTATTTTAAAATAACGTAAAATAGTACAATTAGTTCATTGGTCCACTATATTTGCAGATATACGCTTCGCATTTTTTAATTTTTTACAAATTTTCCCAAAGTTCAATACATTTTTTTTTATAAAAGCTGTTGATGCACTTTAAAGTAATTGTAGGACTTTTTGGCATTTTATATCCTTTACATTTTTCTCTATATTTTATCTTCTTTTTGTTGCATGTAACTAGCAATAGTTTGAGACTCACTCATCGCTATGGCCTCTATTCCATCAACAGTCACAACATTTGACAACATTCCATTTAAAAATTCTATTTTAACAAATTACAAACAGTACTTGTTTCATTTTTTTCTCCTTCAAGTAGTCTTGTTTTCCAGCCTGCTGGAAAGCAGCATCTGTTATCCCTATTTTTAAAAATTCTGGAGAGCGATCTGACTCATCTAACTACCGTCCCATTAGTCTTCTTCCTATCATAAGAAAGGTTTTTGAATCTTTAATTAACAAACACTTAATCTCTTATCTCGAATCTCATAACTTACTTTCTGATCATCAATATGAATTTCGATCTTCTCGTTCTACGGCTGATTTGCTAGCAGTAATAACCGATAGGTTTTATCGCGCATTAGATAAAGGTGGAGAGGTTTAGGCCATCGCTCTTGACATTTTTAAAGTGTTTGATAAAGTTTGGCATGCAGGTCTTTTCCATAAGCTTTCTTTTTACGGTGTATCTGGAAACATCTTTAAGATTATTGAATCCTTCCTTCCAATCGTAGCATAAAAGTTGTCCTTGATGGACAGCACTCTTCTTCTTATTCTGTAACCTCAGGGGTTCCTCAAGGTTCAATCCTTGGCTCTATACTCTTTTTAATTTACATTAACGATCTTCCAGATATTCTCACATTTAAGGTGGAATTGTTCGCTGATGATACTACCATTTATTCTTGTCACGATAAGAAGCCAACTCCCTCTGATTGCTTGCAGGGGGCATCTGAGCTTGAAAAGGATCTCACTTCTGCTACAGCATGGGGCTCACAGTGGCTGGTGAACTTTAATTCAGATAAAACTCAATTTTTTTCAGCCAATCGTTATCGCAATAATTTAGACCTTCCTATATTTATGAACGGTAATGTACTAAATGAATCATCTACCCTTCATCTTCTAGGATTAACTCTTACTTCTGATTTTTCTTGGAAACCTTATATCAAATCCGTTGCAAAATTAGCATCTGCTAAAGTTGCATCACTTTATCAAGCTCAACACTATCTTACTCCGGATTCTATTCTCTATCTCTATAAATCTCAAATCCGGTCTTGTATGGATTACTGTTGCCATATCTGGAGCAGATCTTCTAATGATGCCCTTTCTCTTTTAGACAAGGTGCAAAAACGCATTGTAAACATAGTTGGACTTGCTCTTGCAGCCAACCTTCAACCTCTGTCACATCGTCGTAATGTTGCTTCTCTTTCTCTTTTCTACAAATACTACAATGGGCACTGCTCTAAAAAGCTAGCGCCTTTTGTGCCATCTACTAAAATTCATTCTCGTGTTTCTCCTCATTCAATTAAGTCTCATCCTTTTTCTGTTACTGTTCCTAAGTGCTCCAAAAACTCTTATTTGCCTAGTTTTTTTCCTCGAACATCAGTTCTTTGGAATTCGCTTCCTTCATCTTGCTTTCCTGATTCATATAATTTACAATCTTTTAAGTCGTCTGTCAACCGTTATCTTGCTCTACATTCTTCATCTTTTCTCTTCCAGTAACTTCCAACACTAATTAGTGGTTGCTTGCAGCCTTGTTGAAAGCAAAGATGTTAAAAAAATAAAAAAGATTAAACACTAGATAATCTGTATTGTATAGATACCAGATTATACTAATATCAAGATCATGCTGGTATCAAAGGAATCAGTATTTTTTTAAATAATAATATATTCTTTTTAATTCTAAAAGTAAATTTATGTAAATTAGGATCTGTAAATCTAAAAGCAGAAGTGATGGTTGGGTTGGGGTAGTAACTTATTTTTTATTAATTTAACAAAATTTAATACTTGTTGTTTAGCAATAAATTTGAGAGTAATTGTAAAAAAGATTTTGTTTTAGCAACTCTTTGTTTGCTTCTTAAAAAAATCAGTTTGCCATGATTATGCCAGTTTTCTAATGAAAGAATATTTTGATTTAGAAAAAATAAACCCACATCTGATCAAGTGCATCAAGATGTAAGCAATTTTAATGCTTTTATTATATTTATTGTATTTATGGTGTTAAGAAAAATTCTTCTTTGGACATGTTTTTTTTTGGTTTGTATTACAAGTTATTTTTATGACTTGTTTATAGGATACACAAGTTCAACTAATAAACAGAGAAACACTTCAGTCTTCAAATCGTTATGTCAGAACTTTTGGTATGTTTGTTTACTATTATTTTTTCAAAGTATGATAATTGCATAGGTAAGATATTTAATATAAACTGATTTAATTGTCAATCCTAATTTAAGCATTTGATAGATTACTAAAAGAGTATGGTGAGGTTTCAGGTGTTGAAATACTATATATTAAAGTTGTGCATCCAGCTTGTTATGTTAATATAAGAAGAATTATTTAGTCAGATGATAGGCAGCATTTAGAAAAAACATGTAGAACATAAAAACTCATATCAACTTGTTTCTCTGTGAGAGGTGAATATGTAGTGAGTATGCTAGAAACTTTAAATTTGACTTAATACTAGTCAAATGTTGGCCAAGTCAAGTCAAATTTAGCCAGATGAGGTCAAGACCACCAAATTAAAAATTGCAATATTTAACGATTCTCTAATTACTCTTCTTTTGAGACCCAGGATGATAAATAATTTTTTTTTTTAGATGTAGATTCTCATTGTAAAGTATAAATTTGAGATATTTTCTCTAAATCTTCAACAGAGTTGCGAAGTAAGAACCAAAAAAAAGTTTAAGATTAGGAGTATCTTTTTATGAAATTTTTAAAATACATTTGTTTGTGATCAGGAAGTTAAATACATTTAGTTGCATCAGTGTTGGAATCAAATACACTTGATTAAATATTAATGGGTTAATTCAAATATTTGTAATTTAAAAAAAAAGTACAAATATATTCTTTTATCTCAAGACTACATCCTTTTTGATGTTATTTAGGATCAAATTGATCGAGCCCTTTTTTTTATTGTTCAGCCAATATTGTTGTTATTAGTAATTTTAATGCTCATCACATTGAATGGCTTGGTTCTAGTGTCAGTGACTCTGCAGTTGTTAAGGTCCTCAACTTTTGTCTTTCTCAATCTCTAACATAAATAGTCAACTTTCCATCTCGCTTTCCAGACAATCTGAATCATTTACCTTCTCTACTCAACTTATATCTTGTTTCTGATCCTAGTCAGTGCTCAGTTTTATCATAAGGTGCTTCTGATCACAGTTTGATCGCTCTGAAACTATTATCTCATTCTTCATCACCAGAATCCCCCTATCATTGTACCTCTTACAACTACCTTCAAGTTGACTGGGACTCTCTGTGATTTGTGATTCTTTATGATGGCTCTTGGGTAGAAATTTTTTGTCTTACTGCTGATAGATGTGCTTTTTATGTAACTTCTTGGATACAAGGTGACATGGAATCATTTATTTTCTCTCGACAAATCCAAGTCAAGCTTCACTCTTCTCTGTGGTTTTCCTTTTGTTTACTATTGCGCGATACCATTATAAAAAGGTTTTGTTTAACGCCAAAACCCGCAAAAATCATGAAATCTCGTATTTCATCACAAAAATTAGGCTCTCGTGATTTCTGGAGAATCTTTAATAGTATCAATAATAAGGGCAAGTCTGTAATTCCACCTCTTTTGTACGTTTTAGACTTTGTCACCTCACCTAAAGACAAAGCTGAATTGTTTGGTTGCGTTTCTTTATTGTTTTGCCGCTTACTCAGGATTCTAATCTTTATCTCTATAAATTTCAAATCCGTCACAGTATGGAATACTGTTTCCATATCTGGGGCGGATCTTTGAATGATGTCTTTTCTCTTCCAGTAACTTCCAACTCTAATAGTGGTTGCTTGCGGTCTTGTTGGAAGTGAAGATATTTAAAAAAAAAATGCAAGTTTATCATGTTTTTTTTTCACAATAGCCTTGTTTTTCAATTTCTTGGAGTTAAAAAGTTGAGAAATGGGTATAAAAACAATTAAGTGAAATAATATAAAAAAAACAGTAGTTTCTTTGACTTTAGCCCCTCTGGGCAAATCTATGTAGATTTTTTCCTACCAATTGCATGACTTCACTTACTCAAATAGTATTCACATAGGTGCTCCTTTAAACTAAATTTTTGTTTTTATTGTTAAACCAGTCAACCAAGTGATTTCCAATAACTTTAGTATGTTTATCATTGATCATATCTAAAACAAAATGAAAAAGTTACCACTACTCACCAGGGTTTTTTACAATTCAGTAATGTTCTTCTTTAATCAGAAAGAAAAATTTCTTTCATTTACCTTTATAAACATTTTTGTTTTCATTCTCCCATTAAAAAAAAGAACATGAAGCAAGTATGTTTAATTTTTTTTAATTTTTCTTGAGCCCTTTTGACCTTGTTATGATCTTTAATAAGATTATAATCACTTTAACTTATTAGCTATGGCTATTTCAGCTGCTTTACTTAAACTTGGTTGATATTTTAGCACTTCACTTAAAGTTGTTTAATATTTCAGCAGCTTCACTTAAGGTTGGTTGATATTTCAGTACTTCACTTAAACTTAGTTGATATTTCAGTACTTCACTTAAACTTGGTTGATATTTCAGCAGCTTCACTTAAACTTGATTGGTGTCTCATGCTAAACATAATATTATTTTCAATACTCATAGTAGTTTTGCATGTTTGATAAAGGATTTACATTTTGAGTTTGAATGCTAACTAATATTTGTAATACTAATAATGTTCGAAAAAGTATGCATTAGCATAAAAATTAATACACCTGCTAATTTTTTTTTTTTTTTAATTTTATTACTTACTTTTTTTAACTTATTAATTTTATTTATAGTTACTTGTTTTATTTACTATAAATAATAAATATTGTTTAATGGTTGTAAAGGATTTTATTTTATTTCTTTTTGTTACCAAATTTTTTTTATATTGCAGACGACAACGCTTATGTTGATCCAAATATCTGCAGAATGAGTAAATATGAAGGGAAAGGTTTGTGTGTAGAGCCTAATGGTTTACTGAATATCAATGAAAAAGAATCATTTCGAAATTCCGACGTAAAAAATACAGAAAAAAAGAATTATCCTGATAATACAAACTCTAATACTAATGTTTCTTTAAGCAATGGACCTGAAAAAAAGAAAGATCCGAACTATGAATACCCAATCGTTGCGCAGCTCACTGTTAAAGAAAAGGTGCATATATGAATAAATATAATAAAATACATTTTTTACTAAATATTTTATATGTATACTATATGATATAAATATTAGTATACAATAATTATTTATATATATATATATATATATATATATATATATATATATATATATATATATATATATATATATATATATATATATATATATGTATATATATATATATATGTATATATATATATAATGAAATAGTTTGAATATAATGAATAATTTGAGAAGTCAATTAATTTTTTTTTTTTAATTTAGCAAAAAAATGAGTATGAGAGCTGTGGACGTGTTCAACTACCAACTCATGAATATGTAGATATAACTGGAGTTAATGATGGGAAGACTCATTATTACACTGATCCAGACAAAATTCTTCAGAGTTATAAAAAGGAAAGGGTCTCTGAATATGTAAAACCTAATTTACAAGATATAGGTTCTAACGGAAAAAATAATTCTGAATATACCAAACTTTTACCAAATATTCCTACTTCCTCTTTTGAAATCAATGAATCAACTAAATCTAAAAATGAATCAAATAATAGTCATTATACATTTTTATTACCGGATTCACACGAGATACCAGATAAAAACAAAAATCATGGTGGTTCAAATTTTAATTTAAATCCATCTGGTTATGCACAATTAACAACAATAAATAATAAAATAACTTCACCTCCACTCGAAGATTTATCTCCCAAATACTATATGTTAGAGCCAGATGATTCGACTGCAGAAGAGATAGCCATTTAGTTTTTACTAGAAAGTCTTTGTATATATATGTGTATATACATATGTGTGAGTGTGTGTGTGTATATATATATATATATATATATATATATATATATATATATATATATATATATATATATATATATAAAATATATATTTTTTCCTAAATAATAATAATAATATACATATTGTGTTTGATGTTTTTGAATATCAGCTTTAGAGTTCAATTGATTATTTTTGTAAATCTATTTTATTTTTTATTCTCTAATATAAAACAATTTTTTTATAATCTTTTAAATTGGTCTCAATTTGCATAATATTTTTAGAAATTAAACTGTTATTTAACTCTAATTTTTATTAATTTCTATGCTAAATATATTAAATATATTATATCAGTTGCTATGTGTTATTAGCTATGCATTAAGCTTGCCGCAGTAAAACAGAAGTTGTTTCAGAAGTATTTGACATGTAATTATCAAATGTTCACAATTAAAAACCACTTTATCAAATTTAGTATTGTGCTTTAGAAAATAGGTTATATTTAAACAGGGTTGTAGTTATCTTGTGTATTTAATATATAATGAAATTATAACAAAGGTTACATATAAGGAGTTTGACCAGTCTGGACTTCGTTTTTAATACAACCTGTCAATGAAATTCTAAAGTTAATTATCTGTTTATATTAAAAACTTTTTACTTCAAGGTGGTAGTCTACTTCAAAGTAATAAGTACTTTAGTGTTTTACCCTATTTCATATACGTAGAAAACGGTGTTGATAATTGTTTTTCATAAAAATATTCAGAAATTATACAATTTCATTGTTAGACATAACTAGTAAAAAAAATTGTGACGCTAAGTTTAACAATTTTATAAGGTTTTTTACTTGAATATTTAAGAAAAATAAAATCTTACTTTATTTTTTTGAACCATTGGTACACATTCATTTGAACCATTGGTACACATTCATTTGAACCATTGGTACACATTCATTTAGACACATATAAAAGTAAAAGGTATTCACATGCAGTTTTAAATTATAAACATAAATGTATTTGAAAAATTTAGTAGAAGCTGGTAGACATATTTATATATTAATCTATCTTAATTTAATATACTGCGCCATATATAATCATAATGGTTATTGCTACATTCGTGCGTATTATATTAGCACTTATGGTCACCAATATAATTAGCATAACTTGCGTTATGTTTATTATATCGGTGACGGTGACTCAAAATCTTATCTAGAAATTGCTAAAAGTAATTCATACAAAAATATCGTTGTCAAAACCTTAGAATGTGCTATGCTTATAAAAAAAAAAAGAGTTGGTAGCAGACTTAAATTTAAGGCCATCTACAAACTAAAATTGTCTGATGGAAAACCATTTTGTAGAAAAAATCGTCATACCAAAAAAGAAATGAATGAACTTCAAAATTATTTTGGAATTGCAGTACGTCAATATAATGGTGGATCAGTTTACCAGTTAAAAAAATAAATTAGTGCAGTACCGTACCATTGCTAAAATGCTTTTACAATAGATAGTCACCACCAAATGTGTCCAAGAACCCCTGACAGTTGGTGTAAATACCAAGTTGATAAACTAAATGGTACAGCCGTGTATAAAGAAAAACAAGGGCTATCCATTACTGCAAGAGGTATAATCGAACCAATTTTTCTTAGTTTAAGTGATGATGATTAACTAAGTAAGTGTTTGCATTCGCAAACAAAAAACAATAATGATTCATTAAATGGAATTATTTGGGGGAAAATGGCCAAAGGATATTTTTCTTGGTAGAGACACTTTAGAAAAAGATTCAACGAGAGATTAATTGAAGAGTTTAATTCATTTGGCATGCTAAATATGTGGGTAAGAGTAAACTAAAACGGGCCCTTTTTTAAAAAATGATAGATTGAACTAGTTGTAACCAACCGAAAATTATAAAGTTTTTTTCCGGAAATTGAATCTATGCTCTACAATTTAATATCAGAAAAATAAAGGTGTAACTATGCTTTACGTTAAGAAACAACCGTTGAACAAAAAAATGCTAGGAGCCCATTTTACCGTGAAAGTAGCCTATAATGGACCCCTTAATTTAATTTCTGAATCAAACCTGATTCTTAATCAAAAATTGGCTATAACTGATTTGTAGATGATACATAATCTTCTGTTTATTATTCACATTAAAATTTGACACTTTAACTAAAGAAAAATTGACAATAATTTCAATTATTTTATCAATATCATCAAGCGGCCGTGGCGCAGTGTTTAGAGCGTTTACTTTTGAAGCAGGAGATCGAGGTTCGAAACGGGCTCTGGATATATTTTCGCGTCACGGTATAGAAGGAGGCGTGAACTTCCTGGTTAAATGCACTTCCGCGGTGCTCTTTGACAAGACCGTTAGGTCTTCTTGGAACACCTAAAATAACAAAAAAAAAAAAAAAAAAATTATTGTCAAACTAAAAAAAAAATTTACTTTTAAGATTTACTAGCTCAATAAGATTAGTACTTTCAAATATCCTTTTTGGCAAAAATTAACAATTAAAAAAATAACTATTTTTCGGTTGGTTTTCTTAAATCTTTATGGTCAGCTGCACAATATACTACAGTTAAATTTGTAATAATTATTGTCCAAGCCAGAGATTTGACTGGGGCCCATCTTACCTTAGGGGCCCATTTTAGACTACTTTCCCCTATAATGGAAAATTTACGCAAAAGTTTTGCACAAATAAGGTTGTGCGAGAGTCGCTTATATGAATCAGTGTCTAAATCGCAAGTCTACTCCGAAAGTCAAGTTTAAACGGGAAAAAAAAGAGCAGATTTACAGATGCCAATGAAGAAATGGAAGGAGTATGGTATATGGAAGGTATATGAAACTGGCCTTTTTAGAATTTTTTTTTCAGTTTTTTTTTCTTTATTATATCTAGTGTTTGACTATTACTATATAATACTTATTTTTATTCTTTTCTTTTTTTTTTCAAGTTTTTGTGGATTTTGCTCACAGCAAAATCCACGATTCTTGTTTTAATCATAAAAAAAAGTCTTTTCCGCCACGTAAAAATACTTTTTCTTGTTTCAAGAATTTTAAATAAAAAAGTAAGAATTTTTTTATTTCATATTTTGAGAAAAATCTTATTTTTGCTCAAAATAAGATTTTTTTTAGCTTATTTTTCAAGAATTTACATTCGTAAAATATATATTTTTTCTTGTTTCAAGAATTTATATTCTTAAAATATTTTTTTTTCTTGTTTCAAGAATATTTTTGCTAAAATAAAGAATTTTTTTCTTGTTTTAAGAATTTTTTTATTAATAAAATTTTTTTTCTTATTTCAAGAATATTTTTCCTTAACATAAGATTCTATTTTCTTGTTTTCCCTGAGCTGTAAAACAATATTACAAGAGTACTTTTTCTATGGAAAAAATGAAACATTATTATGAATTTAAGATGATTAGTAAGAATATTCAAAAAGCATTTATACATTTAAACAACTCTCATTGTTGAAATAACATTTGTTGTTCTTTGGAATGTCCAAAGAATATCAATGGAATGTCATACTCCTCCTATAGGTTACTCATCTGACTCAAGCAAGTTTCTGTTGAGCTTCTATCTTTAAATAAGATATAATGTAAGTGTAAAATATAATCTAAACTGTATATGCCACCATGACATGGGCGTCATATTCCATGTCCATAACATAGTGTATTCCAAATAGCCCAATCACGGCTTCAGAAAATGAAAATTTTTGTAAAAAAATCTTTTCGCCACACATAATCGCCTCGTCTCCATCCAATCGCCTCGTCTCCATCCAATCGCCTCGTCTCCATCCTCTGTTATGTGCAGATTAGGATTTTTTGAAAATAAATTTAACAAACTTAATATTATATTAAATATAAATATATACCCTATATTAAATATAAGGTTTCCTAAAATTTAACAATAATATTCTTTCATATCTTAAAATATCAGGAATCCTTACTTATATATATATATATATATATATATATATATATATATATATATATATATATATATATATATATATATATATATATATATATATATATATATATATATATATATATATATATGATTAAAATAAATAGAAAATTACAAATTTTTTGCAGCTTTAAAGATAAAAAGATATTGTGTGACTAAGCTTTGTTGTTAAAATAACATGTGATACTTTCTGCTCGTATCCATCATCAAACATTTTGCAACAAAAGAAATGTTCACACCTTTGAATGTTTTTTTTTTTAAGTTTCTTTCTTTTAAATATAACTTTTTTTGGTAATCATCACTAAATGTTTGCAATTTTTTTGCTTGATCCACTTTTTATCTAGAGCAGCATGAATAATTTATTTGAATAATCGAAAATTATGGTAGTTTATAAGTTATGAAATTACAGTTTGGCTAATAGAATCGCTTTACTTTTTACTAGTTAATATATTGAACTAATTAAATCGGAACTACTTTCTCTTTTTTGTCAACAACAAAAAAGCAGTAGCGTAGCGAAGGGCCCGCAGCCGCGGGGAGGCCCAGAGTTATTAGGGGCCCAAGGCAACAAAGAAAAAATTAAAAAAAAAGTGTCAGTACAATAAATAACATGCGTATATCATTAGTTTGTGTTTTAGAATACAGTTTTTTATTTTCATGTATAACTTATTTGTCTAGAAGGAAGGTAAAGGCAAGGTGGGGGGGGGGGGGGAATAGAAAAGAAGTAATTTAGGGGCCCGGATTAAATTTTTGCGGGGGGGCCAATTTTTTATCGCTACACTACTGCAAAAAAGAGAAAGTAGTTCGCTTGATGTTTTTGCTTTAGATATTTCTTAATATCTTTACCATGCATATGTACTGGTGTTTTATTTATTTGAAATCGTATTAGACTTACATTTAACTATTGAGATAACATCACCCTGGAATCACTTTAAATAAAAATAGATACATCATCCCACCTCACCATTTAAGATCTCTTCGTGACGGCCCTAATCATACACAGTACAAAAATACTGACATTGCAACGTTGTAGAAAAATCATCTGCGAGAAGAAAAAGTTATTTGATGACAAAAGTATTCAAAATGAGTCTAGAGCTTTTATATAAGTTTTTAAATAAAAATTATATATAAATATTTATGTATGATATGTTTAAAACTGATTTTGTTTTACACACAATTTTAAACTTTAAATTCTTTTATTCAAAATGAGTATTTTTATCGATGAGCCAGTTTTTGCAAATGATATCTTTTGAACTATGTATGTTAAAGTGATCAAACTTTCAGGGTTTTTATGAGTTGTACTTGCAACTTAAGCTAAATACATTCGAGTCTTTACTTTTTAATCAAGAAAAATTTTTGTTTATATTTTACTAATTTTTTCGACCAAATATTTGAGGCAATCGAAGCAAAAGAAAAGATAATATTTTTTAGCTTACATTGTAGACCTTGCTTTAAAGAGACTTCTGTCAAAGTTTCATTTAAAAATGTATTACAGTTCTTAAATTATCGTCTGTAAAAAACATAGACATTTCCCTTATTTGCCAGCTTTAGAGACGTTTACTGTGAAAAAAAATTTGTTTGCAGCAATTTTTTAAGATCACCTAGAAAATATATAGTTTTTTAGGATGCAATACCAAGATGTCGTTTTAGATTTATCAAGGAGCATACTCCTTAAAAAAAAAAAATCAGATAAATCAAAAACAATATCTAAACGAATATCTTAAAATTATTGAGATCAATAATTATTACTTATCACTAATCATACTTTCCCACTTTTTTTATTTGATTTATCTAGTTCATTTATGCTACTAATTGATATATTTTATTCTGGATATTTTTTTAAACTTTTATTAAATTCTCAGTCATAATATTCTTGAAATAAATTGAAAATGTTATCACGAAAAGACAAAAAATATCTTCCTGCTGAAGCCTTGAACTTAGTTGTAAATTTATGCAAATTGTAATATTTATTAAATGGCAAAATATGTTCAGAAATTTTTTTTTTAATTCGCATACGAAAAAAAAAAAGTAATTATTATATAAAAGCCTATGTCCACTTGTAATATTATTTTATCAAAGCCCATACTTCTTTTATGTTACAAACTTACGTTGAGCATTCACAATTACAATTTAAAAATTATTTATGGCATACGACTTCTTAATTACAAATTTCACGTTCTCATTTACATCTTGAAAAAACCAAGCAGAAAAACTTTTTTTGGGCTTGACTAAGAAAAAAGTCTTTTCTCAGTTAAACCCCAAACTTCTCACTAAATTATAAATTCATAGAATTGCTTTTTGACAACCACCATTCCTTAAGTTAGTATCAAAAAAAATTTTACTGTAAATATATAGCCGTACAAATTTCTTTTTTTAATGACTATTTGACAAAAGCAAACCAAAGTTTCTTATATAAAAACAACAACAACAAAAAGACATCGAAGAAGTTAGTGAAGCATGAGTCGAGTATAAAAATGATTACACATTACCTTACCCATGTTTTCAAACTCTCTGTTTTATTCATTGAACTACATAAATTATGTTCACGTAAAAAGAATTTTTTAAAACCCGATTTTTCAAAACATTTTCTTTTTTAAATAATACTGATTGAAATGTCAGCTAGTATAGCGCGAAAGTACACAGAAAGTGTATGATACTTATGAGATTTTTAATTTGTTTTCATAATTATTTAAATAAGTAACCCGATAAAAACGTCTTTGAAAATGAACATGATGACGATAACAACTAACTGGAATTGGAATCTGAACAGTAATAAAGAAGGAAAAACATACACACAAAGAAAAAACTACCGAACTTCGAGCATTTCTGTGTTTCCAAATTTCAAATACTTTTACTTTACGTTGCTACTAAAATTGTTGCTATATTTCGTTAATAATAATTTTTATTTGCTTTTAATTTAACTTTTTGCATTTCTGTGTTACGCGCACCTGGTTGTATCCGTTCTGGTCAACAAGCAAACTACAATTTAATGAAAATTTATTTTTTCACAAAAATGTTTCCAAAAAAATCGCACACAAATTTATTTTCTGTTAAATAATAAATTTAAATAAAAAACAAAATTTCAATAAATAAAAAATAAATTTGACAAATAAATTAAAAAGTATGTTGTTGCTGAGGCAATAATAAACCAATTCAATATCAAAATAGTAACAACTTAAAATAAAAAAATTGCCAACCAATGACGTATAGGAGTTATTTATATAAAAAATAAAATAAAATACGAAAATAAATTCAGTAAAAATTATAAAAACAATCACCATATAATAATAAAAAAAATGTTGTCACAAAATTTCGTCACGGTTCTACGAGCTATTCTAAATTTAAAAAAACTTATATTTCATCTTCATCTGCTGAATCATCATTTGCTGCATCAAGATTAATTGTTGCAAATTCAGAAAATTGTTGATCTTTTTTCTGTAAAGCAACAACAACAAAAACAAAATTATTTTCATGGTTTTGCTAATTAAAAATTAAAGAAAAAAAGGTTTTTAACAATTCACCTTTCGGAGACCCTTGATGCGTTTTAAAAACTTTGAACCACCTTTTCCTTTTGATACAGTAACCTAATTTTCAAAGTAAATTTTATTATAGCAGTTTGACTAGTATTCAATGTCAACTTATAAATCAAATTTGAAATCAAAAATAAAAATTTGATTTCAAATCGATATTACACAACCCCCTCCCTCGTCCTCGCTTTACTTTAAAATTCAAAAAATTTAAAAGTAAAGCGAGGATGGTGGAGGGTGGGGGTTGTTTATTCAAAACATTTTCGGATAGTTTTCAGATTGCAATATGAATTTAAAAAAAACAAATAATAAGAACTCAAGACATTATTCAATAAAAAATTTAAAAAATTAAAACTAATTAAAAATATTTATTTTAAAGGTTCATTAATAAAAATAAACAAAATTTCCTTGTTGGTTATTTTTGAAATAAATTTCTATTTCTGAAATAAATTTCTTAAATTTCCAAAACTTATTATGTTATAAAAAGGTTATTTTTGAAAAAATAAAAAAATAAATTTCGGTAATTTTCAGAGTTTACAATATATAGTAAATGCAATTAATGTAACAAAAAGCTTAACATTAAAATAAAAATTGCAATACTTGTTTAAAAAAAAAATTAAAAAAATAAAAAAAACTAGCAATTATTTGACGACTTTAACATTAATAATAAAAAAAAGAAAAAAAAAAGAGGCAAAATGACTACTTTAAATTGGGACGACTGAATATGCGCCAATTTCATAAGTGCAAACTTGCATAAGTACAAACTTTCAGACTCAATGACATAGTTCAACACAATCAGTTAGGACTACATTCGTAGAATAATGAAAACGATAGCCTCTCCACAACTATCTAATGCATGATAAATCTTAAACCTAATTTAAGTTATTACTGTTAACAAATCAGTAATAACTTAAAGTTATTACTGCTAACAAATCAGTAGTAAAACGAGAAGATCAAAATCCATATTGATGATCAGAAAGTTATTAGATTCAAGATAAGAGATTAAGTGAAATCTAAAAAACCTTGATTATGATAGTAAGAAGACTAATGGAACGGTAGTTTTTGGGGACATTTGACACAAAAGGATACAAGCTTGGATTTGAAAATACAAGCAACACACAATGGTTCTGATTTTTTTTCTAAGATCAAAAGTGCTTAAAATGTTAATTCTTTTAAACATTTTTATTTTTATTTCTTGCAAGATAATCCCTTCACTCTACTTAAAACTGTTTAATTAAAATGTTTATTTAAAGACAAGTTAGCTACATTTTAAAGCTTGCTTAATTCATAGCTTTAAATGTCAAAAACTTCTTTTTTTTAAAAAAAAGTTATCCTCAAGACCATTTAAAATCAAAAAAGCCTCAGAACTATTTTTCTTTTAATTAAAAATATTAACATAGAGTTTATAAAAAATATGTTTTATTTGATTATATTTATTTTATTCATAATATGTTATAAAATTGTTGGTAATTTTTAGATGTTTTTTAATAATAATAAAATTTAATAATAATAAAACAAAATTTTAACTTCTTCCTTGTTTTAATTGCAGAAGATTGACATTTTTTCATACTTTTGCATTCACTAAATACACACATTCATGATACATTTTTAAACTTGACAAATTATTTGAGCTTTTGAAAAAACCCAATTTAATGTTTTTTTCATGAAAGTAATTCTATAAAAGTAAAAAAAATTTTAAATTTTTGTTAAAGACATTTAATTGATATTGTCAAAAATATTATTATTTTTCTTATTAATGATTATATTAATTTATAACTCATCAATAGAAAAAAAGAAATCTTTTCACTTAAAAATCAAAAACTATAAGTATTTGATTCCATCTTTAAAAATCCACTTGATCCACTTTTTAAAGAATGATGTTATTGATGATTATGAAGTATAAAGGTTATTAAATTATCTTGAATAAAGTCGCAGCTATCAACTATTTAAATTTAAAATTAACTTCCATATTTTTTTCATATTTCAACTATTATGATTAATTAATTTATATTAATGATAATGGTAGCAAATATCTTGCAAAAATAATACAAACATTTGAATAATTTTACACTGAATATTTGATACCTTCTCTTAAAACATTTTTTTATTTTTCTTACAAATTATAATAATAAATTTATAGTTAATAATAAGTTATCTTATAAATTTTATATTTAACATTTTCAAATATTAATATATTTTTTAAATTATTTAAAATTTTTAATAATATAACTTGACTTGAGGTATTTGATAAAATTAAAAATATAACTTCATCACAACTTATATCAAGCTAAATTGTAGATAAATATATGAGTATCCTAATGAACCAAATTAAAGATTTTTTATTTTCTTTTAGAACCTTCGTCTAAATTCTAGAAGAGCTTTTTAGAAACAAGTGAAAATCATCATCATAGCTTTAATTCAGTAGCATTTAAAACAAAAAAGATGTTTCAAAAAATGTTTTAAAACAAAAAAGATGTTTCAAAAAATGTTTTAAAACAAAAAAGATGTTTTAAAAAACACTACTACTCTATATTACTTCAAAAAAGAAGGAAGTAATTTAGAGGAAGTCCAACTACATTTACAACATGTTTTTAAAATATGTCTAGGAACAAGAGAGGACTAAATCATTAGAAACACCAGTCCAAATATGACAACAATATTCCTTACAAAAATAAATATATTAATATGTAAGTCTGTAACAACAGATTTCTCTGTTAAAGATTCTTAAACCTTATTAATCAAAATTAAGCAAAATTTCAAAACCAAAAATCTTGAAACTTAAATAATGCCTTTAAGAAAGAAACCGCATAATCTAATATTATTAGTTGTATAAAATAAAAACTATTTATTGTAAAAGCATATAAAACATCATTAAACAAAATTACATTGTGTTTACTAATCTTCTATTTGATTCATTTAAATATGTCTGTGTAGATAAATGTTTTTTATTATAAAGACGTTTTTTAGCTTAATCTTGTTGTTTGTGTAGAAAAATAATTTTTTATTATTAAGAAATTTTTAGCTCCATTCTATTATCCATTGATATCCCCCTGCTCAATGGATCTTCTGTTAAATGTTTTCTTTTTTGTTTTTTTGTTTTTATTTGTTTTATTGTTCTTTAAACTCATGTTATTTGACTATTTGAAAAAAAGCTTTCAAAGTATAACCAAAAACAAACTATTTACATTTTTTAGTTTTTATAAAATAACATAAAATCAAAACATATTTAACTTAACATAACTTATAATAATTAACATATTTAATATTGAATAACACATTTAAGAAACCCTAGTCTTATAATACTATAAATGATAATAATTTATGCTAAAAATTTCTCTATAACAAATGCTCATTGATTACCTCTTCATCTTCTTCTCCAACTTCGAGAGCACACTTTTCAGATTCAGGAAATTCGCCATCTTTTGCCATACTGATATCAACTAATCGATTATACTTATAACTTAAGCTGAAAAAAATTAAAAAACAAAAAATTTAACATCAATTAATTACACATAAAAAATATAATACAAAAAGACTCTTTGAAAATCAAAGAGCAGTTAACAACAACATTTAACCTTCTATTTCTGCAACACAAGTATACAACAAGGATGGCTAACAAAATAGCACCAAACAGAAAAGCAACAATTGCAAGCTGAAAAAATATATTTTTTTTTAAAAAATAAAAACATATCCAAAATTCAATCTATTAAAACACATAAAGAAAATGATTGGAAACAAACCTTGAAATCTAATATACTTTTTTCAAGAATTGAACATTCAATAACAACATCTGCTGGTTTTTCAACACTTTTAACACAAATGCTAAAGAAAAAAATTTAGTTTAATATTTAAGCAAAATTTATATAAATAAATGCAAACTTTTTTTAAAAAAATTCAGTAACAAAACATACCGCGGTTCCTTCCACACAAAGCGAGTTTTTTTCATACCATTCTAAATATTAACATTTGCAATATTAAAACACATAATCAAATAAAGACTATAGTAATGTATAATACAAAACCTTATATGATATCTAAGAATTTTTATATGATTTTACTTCACATCCTGAAGCAATAGCTTCATAATCACTTTCACTACATTTGGGGCATGCATGCATGGTTTTCCATGTAAATTCAAATCTGAAATATAATAATTTTAATATTATTTTATTAATTTTTTAAAATTAAATTAAAACTAATTTACAGTTACTACTACTACTACTACTACTACTACTACTACTACTACTACTACTACTACTACTACTACTACTACTACTACTACTACAACTACTACTGCAATAACAACAACTACTACTGTTACAACAACAACAACTACTATTGCTACAACAACAACAACTACTAGTACTGCAACTACTGCTACAACAACAACATTAATAACAACAAGAACAACAACTACATTGACTACCACTGCAAATAAATTCATCAAGTCAGAATGCCAACCTAATCCTAGTTAGACTGTTAATCAATTTTATCCCAGGTCATGTTATCCTGCTACTGATAAAATGTAACCTAGTACAACCTGTTTCACGCCTTGCTGCCTTATATGATATGCTTTTTTAGGCAAAGGCTAGTAGATGCTAACTCTGACTTATAGTGCTAGTAGATACTAACTCTGGCTAATTAATGCTAAATAAGGCTAGTAGATGCTAACTAAGGCTAGTAGATGCTAACTTAGGCTAGTAGATGCTAACTAAGGCTAGTAGATGCTAAGATGCTAACTAAGGCTAGTAGATGCTAACTCTGACTAAGTAGATGCCAACTCTGACTAACACACTCCCTGCCTTGGTGCTCTTGGTTATGTAAAGGCTAGAGATGTTGTCTCAATAAAAATACTCATATCTTGGGCAGACGTTAAATGCATTCGGCTACTATCTTGTAGAAGGCCTCTTAGACAAAGAAATAATATGTAAACAGATTTTATCTGTTTACTAACTTCAGACCCCTTCTTTATTTATTAGGTTAGCATAGATGTATTTATAATATATTGTTTCCAGTTTAGAATGCTGAATGCTGGATCTTATTGAACATTGCATAGGTTTTTGCTTGTGTCTCTGCTTTTATGACATCCTATTATCTCCTAATGAAGGCACAGCTTTAAAACTCAGTTTTATGGTTCTGAGGCTGGCTGGTGTTCAGGTTTCCTAAACTCTGTGGTAGCTCTCAAAGAGACTGATTCCATCAACAGCTGTAATACATCAGTTGTACAGTTGGTCGTTTTCGATAGCAACTGTCGTTGCTGTCGAAAACGGTCTAGAATAGCCCCTGAGTGCCATGTTGTTCATTGACTTATATCTTTATATTGGCCTTGGAAAATGAAAAGTCTTACCAAAAAAAAAAAAAAAAAAAAAAAAAAAAAAAAAAAAAAAAATCAACAACAGAGAACACAAAAAAAAAAAAAAGAAGTAAAAAGTGTTAATAAACATCTTAATGAGTTCAACTTATGTCATAAGTTGAACTCATTAACTCATAATAATTTATTTCAAAAACTCATAAATAAATGAATTTCAAGCCAATTTAATGGCTTAAAATTCATTTATTTTTTATATTCAAAATTTTAAACTTTTTTTTTAATGTTTTTTAAAAAGATTTTTTTTTAAATATACTGTGAAAATTTGTAGGAAAAACAAACGAAAGGGGAACGATTTTGGGGATTATTGACCAGAATGGTATTTTTATTAAAATTTTTATTCATTTACTTAAACTATGAGTGGAAAAAACTTAAGCAAAAATTTCCTAACACAAAAATCATGCAACTTAATTTAAGCATCTAATTTAAATTAAAAATATTGGTAACTAACTGTGTTTATCACCTTAGCTGAACATGTGCCACTGTTCTACACTTTTGTGGTTTTTCTATACAACAATGTAATTAATTGAAGTAAAGAAAACTTTTTAAGCAAATCCCTAGGACTTTAAGCTTATCCAAATGATAATTTATTTGAGATTTTTTTTTTTATTAATAAAAATAAATATCAGTATCTTCCAAACTATGTTACATTGTGAACAAAGAGACCACCAGGTTTTATCTTGTGCCAATCAAATAAAACCTATTTTATTAAGAGTATTATAATAATAGAAGAGAGTTTTTTTAAGATTTAGATTTGCAGATTTGTAGAAAAGTTTCTACATCTTTAAATCTACTTCATATTTATTCTCCAAACTGGCAAGTATACTGTTTTAGCAAGTTGGCTGCATACTGTTACAAGAAAACTTGGACAATAGGAATCCTGGGTAGATAAGAATAAATTTTTTAATAAAGCAAATGCTAACTCACATAAAATGCTAAAAAAAGCTTTAACAGCTAAAATGCTACTCAGTCGCAAGAGTTTGACAAAAAAATTTTTTTTTTTTACTTTTTTAATATCTTTCATATGCTAAATTGTAGTTAAAAAAACTGAGATGCAAAGCTGTATTAAAAGACTGCTAGGCTAACTATCTACCCAAGGCAGTTAGCCTAGCAGTGTGAAAACTTCATTCTAAATTTAAACCTACATGAAATATACATGAAAATGTGTATTCCATGAATGTCTATTCCTACAAGAAAACTTAATTTAATTTTTTTTTGCAATGAGCATCTAAAATGCTTGAATGGGCCTAGGCCCCTTAATTTTACCCTTTTGCCCAATTAATGACTCTTAGCATTTTGTTTAGATTTAAAAAAAACTCTTTTAAATTTTAAAAAAGCTAACTAAGATTTTAAAAATGCTATTGTTATTAGACAAATACTTTTGAATAAAAAGGTTTTATTTGATTAACACAACATAAAATATAAAATCTTCTTTTAGAGGAGCTCGACAACTGCTGTAGTGACCTCTAAAGTGATTTATTTTAAACAATACTTAATCTTATTTTTTTATTCAAAATTCATGTTATATTTGGTATATATATGCATATATAAGCATCGTTATGATCAACATGATGATGATGATCATAATCAGGCTTTAGCCTTCCTCTTTTATGCTGTTTCTCTAATCATGGTCAATGTTCAGCTCAAACAAGCTATTATATCTATTACGATAAACCAAAACTCATTCTTGCTACTTATTCAACAAGTTGCATCCTTTTACTGTATCTGTCCTTTTATGCTTTAAAAACTTTCATCTTTTTATTTCTTAACATCAAAAAAACCTTACAACTCATGTTTTCCTTTTTTATACGACCTACAACTTTATAAGTCTTCAGTTAACCATTTCCTAACTTTTTAACTTATCCTTTATTCTAAAGTAACTCATAACTTGATAGTGGTTGCTTGCAAACTTGTTAGAAGTAAATTAGAGTTTAAAAGTATATAAGTATATGACCTGGCTATCAACCCTTGCTAAATTTTATAATTTTGCTGAGTTTGCAAAAATTCTAATTTTTAGTTTAAAAAGGAAAGTGTGAAGCCAAATTTGTCCAAAAATAAATTGGAAAGATAAAGCAGGAAGTGACCGGGGCCCTGGTCACTTCCTACTTGATTTTTTTCTACTTAAATTTTTCAACATATTTGGCTTCCCACTTTCCCTTTTAGACAAAACCTTTCAAATAACCCGAAAAGTCTTATCTCAGAACAGTTGGCATGTTTCTTGAGAATATAAATTGATACTTTCACTGTCCAGCAAAGCAATGACATTTTTGGCATAATGAGCTGCTAAATCACAAAAAACGCAATTGTCATCATTATATTATTCACAAATGAACCGAATCAAAATATTATCAATGCAATCTATTTTTGAAACGTATTTTTGTTAACAAAACATTCTATTCATACTTTCAAGACTAATTGCAAGCCAATGTTTTGCTTCCGAACTTAGCTTTTCTTTTGTACTTGAGGTCTGGAGAAACATTCTTGGAGGTCACTGAAGTAATATCCATTGTTCCCAACAACTGTGGAGTTTGACAAAGTAAAATAAGATTCATCATCCAAAACATTTTATACAACCTTTTTTATACAGAACTGCTTAACATAAAAGTAAATATTATTTGAATGCATTACTAATTTTTTCTATATCTATGATTTAATGTTTTCAATATTCCAGGTGTTAATGCAGCACAAATGAAACTATGATTTAATTTTGTATGTAATAAACAAAAAGTTATTTTTTTTAGATATATAAATAGATAATAAATATATTTTGATACTTTTTAATAGATAATAAATATATTTTGATTCACTTTAGGGCTTGGTTAGGTAGATTGGAGGTGGCTAATACAGTAAAGTTACCTTTTATTTTGATAATTATTCACTTTAGGGCTTGGGGCAGAGGTGGTAAAGTAGATTGGAGGTAGCTAATACATAAGAAGTTACCTTTTAATTTTTAAACTATAACATAATTTTAAATTGACTGTCTTGCTGTTATATAAAGAAAAAAATTGATACAATTGACATTCTAACTTATATATATTATACATAGTAGAAAATTCATACTTGCATCCATCACAAGTTTCTGTATTACAATTGCTGCTACCAATTTGAATAGCATTCTGTTAGAAAATACAAAACACAAAAAAAATACAAAAAAAAAAAAAAAAAACACAGTATGAATAAAGAGTAATACTAAGTGAAAAACTAAAAAAAAAAAAAAAAAAAAAAAAAAAATCTTTACAGTGCCATATTCTTTAGGATCACAAACCAAGTGAACAATAGATGTTGTTCCATTCTTGCATATCTGAGTAAACCTGATAAAGAAAAATCATGCATAAATCATAATACAATAAGTTAGACTATAAATATATGGTAGTGAAAAATAACTCCACTCTTTAAGGGGGCTACTATAGTCAAAAAGGTGAATAAATTTTAATTTTCAATTGTTTTTCACCTACTTATAGTCACATCAAAACACAAAGGCTGCTTAACAGAAAAACAAATGGAGAAAATGGTGGGATTAAGTACTTCTTGCTTATAGAGCAACTGCTACACTATATGTGTGTTGTGATAAAAGATGACACAAAAACTTTACTTATACTCAAATCTTTTTTTAATACAATCTTCATGTTCCTCTGTACTATATACAAAAAACATCTTTAAAAATATATATTTAAAAGGAATTATTTGATTTAGTAGTATCAGTTATACAGAAATCTGATCAAAGCGATTTTATCTATTACATTATGTACAAATCAGTTTTTTTCTGTGCATGTGATCTTAACATATTGATTTTAACCCAAGTTTCCAATTTTTATTTAAAATGAAATCTTATCAATTGTCCTGTAAATATAAAACTTTTGATGATTTTGTTAATTTTACTGTATCATATATTTGACTTAATTAATTTATATGATCTATTTAATTTGAGATTTTATTTATATGAATTATTAAAAATGATCTATTAAATTTGAGAAATCAATGTGCTCCTATTTGAAGAATTTCCTTGGAACAAAACAGAGTTTATGAATCCAAGTTTTTTTAATAATAACGCAATCATTAGAAAAAAATCAGTCAGGATAAAAAAAAGTTTGGTGGTATATCTATATTAGGCAACTGATAAACCGAGTCATAGTTCTATAATTATACCAAAATATAAAAAAGCTGAGTGGTATGTCTATATCAATTAACCAATCAAGCATGCCACAGTAGAACCTTTGTAAAAAATATTTTCAAGGTACTCTTTTTCTCTCTTCTCCATAAATTGTGAATTCATCTCCTTAAATTGTGAATATTTATTGATACATTTACTACATATCACTTTTTTTCAATAGTAATAGAAAAGCTTAATAATTTCCATCCAGAAATTTCAGAAAAAGGAGGTATGTAATTGTTAATATGCAACTTACACTTTATAACCATTAAACACATTTTGTAGATATTAGAGTTGTCCAAATAAAGCCCAAGTCAGAAAACTATTATTTTTATTTTCTGGAAGCTATATACATAGATGAGTATTTGACTTTTTAAAAATCCCGGAAATTTTTTTCTATGAAAATCCCGGAAAATTATTTAATTAAAAAATGATTGTTTTACAGGGTTATTCATTTTTATATGCGCGTCTATTGATTTTTATATGCGTGTTTATTCATTCTTATATGCGCATTTATTCATTCTTATATGTGCATTTATTCATTCTTATATGCGCATTTATATGCAAGTCAACCACTCATAAAATCTCTAATATAATTTAATATAAACAATAAATAGGTTTTTAAATTTTTTTTTATATATATACTAATAATTATTATAAATAGTTAAATTTAAATCTATATAAATGAATAATTAGATAAATAATAATTTAATCAATCAAGAAATTTAATAATGTAATAAAATTAAACAAAGACCTGATACTAAATTAAATAAACCATTATGGAATGTAAAAAGTCTTCGTTTTAAATATTTTTAACCTTGTTTACCAGGAAATAAGAAAAATTTGTTTTTAAAAAAAGTAAATTGTTTTTTATGGTCAGGTCAGGTTTTCCTGCTACTGGTAACATGTAACCCAGTACAACCTGCTTCATGTCCTGCTGCCTTGTAGGATACGCTTTTTTTAGGCAAAGGCTAGGAGAAGTTAACTTCGAATTAAAACACCCCCTGCCTTGGGGCTCTTGGTTGAGTAAAGGCTAGAGATGGTGTCTCGATAAAAATACTCATCTTGGGCAGATGTTACATGCATCCAGCTGCTGTCTTGTAGAAGGCCTCCTAGGCAAAGACTTAAGGGGTAAACAGATTCTATCTGTTGACCAGCCTCGCACCCCTTTCTCATCTATTAGGCTGGCGCAGATGTATTTTTAATGCATTGTTTCCAGTTTAGGATGTTGAACGCTGGATCTTCTTGACTCAATGCGTGGGTATTGCTTGTGTCTCTATTTTTACGACTGGGCAACTCATTCTATTATCTTCTAATGAGGGTACAGCTCTAAAACTCAGTTTTATGGTTCTGAGGCCGGCTGGTAGTCAGGTTTCCCGAACTCTGTGGTAGCTCTCAGAGAGGCTGATTCCATCAACAGCCGAAAAATATGAGTACTAACAGTGCCATGTTGCGCATGGATGGTGTCCCTGTTTGTACTTTTGGTGTGCATTGCAGAGGCCACATTTGGAGCCCTTTGTTACGGCTTAGGGTTTATTAATAGTAATGAGGCTATTGCTTAGTTGTTAAATAGTGTACTGAGTACTATCTATACTTGAGTCAAGTTCTTTATAAATTCAAAATGACTAAAGTACCTAAAACTAAAAAACACAAAAAACCATCGTCATCACCAAGTTTTCTAAACCTATCATTTACTAATATTCGTGGTCTTCGAAGTAACTTTTCTTCTGTTGAGTCTTATCTCTTGCAAAGTTCACCAGACCTACTTGCTCTTTGTGAGACTAATTTGAGTTCGGCTGTCCCATCTTGTGATCTTAGTGTTGATGGTTATCTTCCTTTAATTCGTAAAGACTCCAATAATCACATGCTTAGCCTGGGCATCTACATTCGTAACAACTCACCCATTTGTCGTGAAACTAGGTTTGAATCTACAGACTATTCATTTATGTGATTTCGTTTAGCACAACTTCACTCTATCGCCTTTCTCTTTGTTCTATATCGCTCTCCTTCATCCCAAGATTGCACTATTCTTGATGCTATTTCTGATCAAATTGACCGAGCCCTCTCTCTTTATCCATCGGCCAATATCGTCGTTGTTGGTGACTTTAATGCCCATCACACCGATTGGCTTGGCTCTAGTGTCAGTGACTCTGCTGGCGTTAAGGCCCTCAACTTTTGCCTTTCTCAATCTCTAACTCAAATAGTCAACTTTCCAACTCGTTTTCCAGACAACCCTAATCATTTACCTTCTCTACTCGACTTATGTCTTGTTTTGGATCCTAGTCAGTGCTCAATTTCTCCACATTCACCCTTAGGTACTTCTGATCACGGTTTGATCTCTCTAAAACTATTATCAAACTCTTCTACTTCATCAGAATCCCCCTATCATCGTACCACATACAACTACCTTAAAGCTGACTGGGACTCTTTCCGTGATTTTCTTTGTGATGGCCCTTGGGTAGAAATCTTTCGTCTTCCTGCTGACAAATGTGCTTCTTACATAACTTCGTGGATTCAGGCTGGCATGGAATCTTTTATTCCCTCTCGACGATTCCAGGTCAAGCCTCACTCTTCTCCTTGGTTTTCCTCACATTGCGCTGCAGCAATTTCTAATCGAAACCGTTACTTCCATATCTATCAGCAAAACAATTCTCCAGAAAACAGACATCTGTTCACTATCGCCAGAAACCATTGTAAAAAGGTTTTGTCTGACGCCAAAGCTCGCTATTCTCAGGTCATTAAATCTCGTATCTCATCACAAAAATTAGGCTCTCGAGACTTCTGGAGAATCTTTAACAGTATCAATAATAAGGGCAAATCTGTTATTCCTTCTCTTTTGTATGGTTCAGACTTTGTCACCTCACCTAAAGACAAAGCTGAATTGTTTGCTAAGAACTTTTCATCAATATCATCTCTCGATTCCACTAGTTGTGTTTTACCTGACATAGCTGTCAAACAGGTTGATCCCTTGCTTGACATTTGCATCACTTCAGCTTCTGTATCAAAAGTAATTTCCTGCTTAGACTCTTCAACAGCTTGTGGTCCTGACAACATTCCTGTTGTAGTCTTGCAGAGGTGTTCTCCGGAGCTTTCATCCATACTTTCAAAACTATTTAACAAGTGCTTATCAGAGTCTTGTTTTCCATCATGCTGGAAAGCAGCATCTGTTATCCCTATTTTCAAAAATTCTGGAGAGCGATCCGATTCATCTAACTACCGCCCGATTAGTCTTCTTCCTGTCATAAGCAAGGTTTTTGAATCTTTAATCAACAAACACTTAATCTCTCATCTTGAATCAAATAACTTACTTTCTGATCATCAATATGGATTTCGGTCTTCACATTCTACAGCTGATGTGCTAACAGTAATAACCGATAGGTTTTACTGTGCATTAGATAGAGGTGGAGAGGTTAAGGCTATCGCACTTGACATTTCTAAAGCTTTTGATAAAGTTTGGCATGCTGGTCTTCTCCATAAGATTTCTTCTTATGGTGTAGCTGGTAACATCTTTAAGATTATTGAGTCCTTTCTTTCCAATCGTAGTATAAAAGTTGTCCTCGATGGACAACACTCTTCTTCCCATCCTGTAACTTCAGGGGTTCCTCAAGGTTCAATCCTTGGCCCTATACTCTTTTTAATTTACATTAACGATCTTCCAGATATTCTCACATCTGAGGTGGCATTATTCGCTGACGACACTACCATTTACTCTTGTCATGATAAGAAGCCTACACTCTCTGATTGCTTGGAGGGGGTATCTGAGCTTGAAAAGGATCTCACTTCTGCTACAGCATGGGGCTCACAGTGGCTGGTGAACTTTAATTCAGATAAAACTCAATTTTATTCGGCCAATCGTTATCGTAATAATTTAGATCTTCCTATATTTATGAATGGTAATGTACTAGATGAGTCATCTACCATTCATCTTCTAGGATTAACTCTTACTTCTGATCTTTCTTTTAAACCGTATATCAAATCCATTGCAAAATTAGCATCTGCTAAGGTTGCATCTCTTTATCGAGCTCGACACTTTCTTACTCCAGATTCTATTCTCTATCTCTATAAATCTCAAATCCATCCCTGTATGGAATACTGTTGCCACATCTGGGGCGGATCTTCAAATGATGCTCTTTCTCTTTTAGACAAGGCGCAAAAACGAATTGTAAACATAGTTGGACCTGCTCTGGCAGCCAATCTCCAACCTTTGTCACATCGTCGTAATGTTGCTTCTCTTTCTCTTTTCTACAAATACTATAATGGGCACTGCTCTAAAGAGCTAGCGTCCCTTGTGCCATCTACTAAAATTCATTCTCGTGTTACTCGCCATTCAATTAAGTCTCATCCTTTTTCTGTGACTGTTCCTAAGTGCTTCAAAAACTCTTATTCTTCTAGTTTTTTTCCTCGAACATCAGTTCTTTGGAATTCGCTTCCTTCATCTTGCTTTCCTGATTCATATAATTTGCAATCTTTTAAGTCATTAGTCAATCGTCATCTTGCTCTACAGATTTAGTCTTTTCTCTTCCAGTAACTTCCAACTCTTATAGTGGTTGCTTGCAGCCTTGTTGGAAGTGAAGATGTTAAAAAAAAAAAAAAAACAAAAAAAAAAAAATGCTTAAATTATTTTTTTTTGTTCTTATTGGTTTTTTAAAACGCATATAAGAATGAATAAAAACGCATATAAAAATTGAATAGACACGCATATAAGAGTGAATAACCTTGTAACAGACAACAAATACTTTCGTAAACTTTTAAAATAGAATTTAGAATATTTAACTTTTTACAAAAAGGAATTTCTAATATTCGAAAAAGTTAATTTGAATGAACTAAAAAGCAAAAAAGTAAAAAAATTGTTACGAAAATTGATCTCTTAAAATGTTAATTATAAAAAACATTTGTTTAAATGCAAAAGTTGCCGTATTTAAAATTTTATGTAAATTTTTTTTTTCAAATTAATAACAAAAAACATCTGCAAATCTCTGGAAAGTTTAAAGTGAATTTCCGAAATTCCGGGAATTCCTGGAAAAAACTCATCTATGTATATAAGGTATCTTTTTTGTGTGTTTATCTATTAATTCGCAGTATTAATAAATTTTATAGAACAGCACTTCCTCAGCAAAAACTTTATAGAATCTTGATCTCAGATCAGTGATGTGATTAATACTCCCCTTTATTCTTTTCATGAAATGTTTGTGGAAAGTATATTGGATTCCCTCCAATTATCCTAAGATACTATACAATTTAAAATAAAAAGGTGAATATACCTGTTTGAAAAGAAGGTGAACGACAGGCTACCAAACTTTGATGACTTCAAGACTATAAAATAATTTTTGAAAAATAAAGACTAACAATGACTATAAAATAACTTTTGATAAAAATTTGATTTTCAAAACATTAGAATAAAGATACAGATAATACAGATAATAAAGATACCATAATACAGTGCAAAAATAAAAGAGCTTAAGGTAATTATTTCACTAGTAATATTTTAAACTACTTATTTTATATTTAAATACTTAGATATTTTAATGTACTTTAAGTAACCTATACCTTGGTGTGTTTTGTTAATTAAAATACAATTTAAAAAAGTGACAAACTCTGTGAAAGTTTAAATTTTATTTAGGAGAGTAGAGTGAAAAACTTGTTAAAATTCATTTCCAAGCCAAAATTTGAATAAAAGTTTCAATTATTTTTATAGGTTAGATAAGAGTGAGCCAAGAGACTGAACCATTAATCCTATAACAATAATGCACCAGTGTAATCATTTAATTTCTAATAAAGTATTACTGCTGAATATTTGTCAACCTTCTTACCAGAACTTTTTGTGACAACTCTTCTTAGCAGATTCTTACTAAAATTTAATTTTTATAGAAAACATAGGAAAGATAGTCCAATGTTTTTAATAACAAATTAATTTTTTGGTACTTTTAAAGTATAAAGTTTTTAATATTTTTTCATATTTACTAAAAGTTCAGATTTTTATTGATGAAACTGAAACTGTTAACATGCAGAAGCAACAAAACATGTTAATTAACAATAAATAACATACTTTTCTTCTTTAAACTTAATTTTAAGATTATGGCAAAGTAAGCCATGAGTGTAATTAATGCTTCTGGATATCTTTCCAAAAACACATATCAAAAACCATATGTTAAAAGAAGTTCTTTCTGGATCGCAAGGACCTGCGTGTAAAATCAGATAATGATAAACTATTTTCAGAGAGTACAAAACATTTTATGAAAGTCATGCTTATCAGCAAAGAAAATCTCTTGTCAAACTTAAACCTGACCAGTCTATAGCAGTGTAAAATAAAAAAGCAAGAAGTTTATTTTTAAACCATAATGAAACTTTTACAATGTTTTTACTTTAAAAACATTCTATTGGTACAGAAGTTGATACTCAGAATTTAAAATTTATTACTTTTAAAACATTGATTGTTTATAATTTTTTTTTGAATATTTATAATGATATACAGAACTTTGTAAAGTTAAACTTATAGTCAAAATATCCAATCTTTTACCTTTGGTTTTGTTAACATTTTCATCCATTTCACTAAGTGATGGCTTGATATGGAGAAGACTTTGCCCAACACTAAAAATTTATAAACTATTATAAAATTTTCAAATTTCTCTTCAAAATAAAAAAAAAAACAAAAAACAAATTATTAATAAAAAATAAAAAAAATAAAAAAAATGAGTACTAGCCTCATCACTTGCGCACTTATACTGCTTCCATCATCAGGAACCATTGTAGAGCGACAAACACCACCTCGAACAAAAAAGTCTGATTCCTAAAGAAGTGCAAACTATATGTATATAACCAGCTAATCACTCAGATAAAATTATATACTCAGGCCTTGCTTTAAAGTGTTACGCCTAGAGCGATTTACGTACGCCTTAAGCGATTTTTACATACGCGTAGAGCTGTTTTGGTTAAGCTACTTTTTATAATTTTTTAACTTTTAAATTAGCGGTAACATAAAAGAAGTAATTAATTTTTAAAAAACCACATTAACTTTTAAACTATATGTAAAGATATTTATTACAAAAAAGAATTTACGTTAAAAATAATTGTTGTAACTTTTCATCGCGCTATATCTTACTTTTTTATAGCAATTAATTTTATGCTAAACTTTTTATCCAAATATTTAGCAACATAAAAAATTGTTCGTCATTCCTTAACTACAAATTTTTGCAATGTTTTTAATAAAAAGTAGTAATTTTTTAAAGTTTTTAGTAAAAAACTTTTAAAAAAATCTCTATTCCATATTTATTAATACAGAATATAAGTGTTTTTTGTAGAATAGATTTTTTAAGAGTTTTTTTTTGAATTTATAATAAAAAACATTTGCAAAAAAATTTGTAATTAAGGATTGACATTTTTTTTAGTATCTCAAAAAATGTCTTAATATTTTTGTTATCACGATAACAAAAATATCAAGACATTTTTTCAAGATATTAAAAAAAAATGTGCCAATGAATGAACTATCTAATTGTATTTTTCTAAAAATTACTTCATTAATTCTTACTCTTTGCTTGTCTTATTAGTTAAAGGTATATAGATACCTTTACCTTTAAGTTATGCGGGGGAGGGGGCCGGCACAGAAAAAAAAAAATTACCTGTTACTCACAATTTTTGAATGAAGACAATTTGTTAAATTTCTTCTGCGTGCGATTCAATAAGTTTTTTTCATAAATCAAGTTATATTATAAGGTAAAGAAATCACGAGTAGACTATAACATCCGCTGATGACACTAATATTACGTTGAATATATTTATATAACGGAGGTTTGATTATGCACGCACACATTACAGATTCCGTTAAATAAATTCAAAGGCACGTTTTAGTTTAATGACAGTCTTTATTTTTTACTAATGAATATGTATTTTTCTTTATAAAACAAGACAAACTATTATATAAAAAACCTTGTATATTTCTATTCTCTCTAAATTGTTTAAAGTTCGAATATGGATTGTATTTTGAAAGACAAAAGATTTACTTTAAAAACTTTTAAATCTTGGGACTTTGCCGATGCAATGAGCACATAAAAAGAGAATACTTACGGTATTAAAATCAAATGTAAGTTATGTGATCTTCATCAAAATAAAACATTATCTAAAAACAATGGTGCCGTAAGGGCAGCTGCCCTACCGTTTATAAATAACACAAGTCATGTTAAAAAATTTTAACATGTTACTATATTTTAATTAAGTTGATATATAAATAAAAATAAAAATACAGTTCAATAAATAAATTAAATTTGTTCTTAACAAAGATTATCTCATATTAATTCTTTTTTTATTTTATTAAATTAAATTGCTTACAAAAAAAAAAAAAAAAGAGTTTTGTCATTATACATAGAATGAAAATACTTTTGAGTTTGTTTATAAGTTATGCAACTTAATTATTAATAAACAAATTTTTACAAACGTTTATTATAAACAGATACGATTCAAATTATTAAATATACTTATATTATTTTAGTTGAATATTTTTTTAAGTTTGCACGATTAAAGTTTTGCGTAGAAGTATTTGTTTTTTGTTTTAAGAATAATTAACAAAAGAGATTGCATAATTAAGACTTTTATACTTAATTTAATTAATTTAAAAAAAAAAAAAAAAAGATTTAATTGTTAAAAACGATTTTTCTTTATAGCTCTGTGATTTAATTAAAATGTAAAACATTTTTACAATAACATAAAAAATTTATGAATTAAATTCCTGGCGAACGTGTTCTAAACTATGTATCAAAAATATGCTCAAAGCAGACAAAACTTTTTTATATTTTTATATAACGCAAGTTGAAACGCCAAGCAAGATAAATTAAAAAAATATTTAAAAACCTAAATTATTCTTTGCTAGTCAAAACAAAATCGCTGTTTAAATAATTAACATGGGTTTTTGTTTATCAATGTTAATATTTTTTGTTTACTCCAGAAATTTTTAAAAATAAAAAAAAATCATTATTATTTTTCATTCAATAACGATTTATAAATAATAATTATTCAAAAACAAATTTCAGAAATATTTTAAAATATATATATATATACTTTTTTTTTTTTTACTAAATAATATTGAACTAAAATTAATAATAAAATAACAATTGAAAACATTACAAACTTTTCATAATAAATTTACATTTAAAACGTTTATAGTTATTTAAGTTAATTGTTAAATTGAACTAGTTTAAGTTAATTGTTAAATTGAACTAGCGTAATATAAGTGTATATATTAATATAGCGTAATATAGCGTAATATATAGCGTATATATTAATATAGCGTAATATAGCGTAATATATAGCGTAATATAGCGTAATATATAGCGTAATAGTTTAAGTTAATTGTTAAATTGAACTAGCGGTTATTTATTTATTGCGGTAGTTAAAACACTTAACGTCTATAAAAAAAAATAAAGATAATTTTATGACGTCAAAATCACGTTAAGCTAATGCATTAAGCACTTTTTTATTTAAAACAAGGCCTGTATACTCATATAATAACCAGCTAATCACTCAGAAAGAAAAAAAAAGAACAATTAAACATAACTAAACAAATATAACTGATTGATTCTAATCTAACTAAAAGTATCAATAAATTAACTGATCTTTACTGACTGAGAATAATATGCAATTGAATATAAAACAATCAGTCTTAAGTTAAACTAAAAATAACTTATTAATATATTAAAAACAAAAACCCACTCTCAGCACCTTTAATTTATGAAAAGGTTTAAGGCAGCTTATTGAGAGTCAAGATAACCCTAAATTAGTAGAGATTAATGTAAGCATTCCCCCTCAAACTTATTGCACCAGCAACCTATCTGAATAAGGGCAAGAGTTTATTTATAATTCAATTATTTAGAATAACGAAAAAAAACTTTTAAAAATTTACCAATGAATTAGTCTGAGTTGAGTTATCAACGCATACACTTTCTTGACGGGTGTGGCCACACAAACTAATATTATACATATGATAAAACTGATAACCTTTTGAAGTAAATTGTGAAGCACCCTTGACCAGATGAAATCTAAATTATTAAATTTAGAACAAGATTGAACTCAAATACGGTAGGGACTTGAATATAATCAAAAATTAGGTCAAAAGCCTTATACATGGACTCCAGTATTAGAAGTGCATAAGTAAAAATTTAACTTATTAAAAATGCAACACAAATAACATCAATATATAAACAAAAGTTCTAGAAAAGAATTCAGCACAAATAACATCAGAATATAAACAAAATTTTCTACTAAAGAATGCAACACAAATAACATGAATATATAAACAAAAGTTTCTATTAAAGAATGCAACACAAATAAAATGAATATATAAGCAAAAGCTTGTAGAAGGTAGCACAAATAACATGAATATATAGACATAATAGTCTCTAGTAAAGTATTCAACACATGCAATTGATGCAACAGATGAAATGGTCCATAAAGGTTTACTAAAATCAACATATTCTAAAGATAAGTTTTTTTATACCAATTAACATATTTAACATCTCACCCAGCAAGTGCAGAGAAGTTGTAGACTTTAGCAGATTGCTCACTTGAAACATTGTATAAACAGTTAGAATAACACGAACTTGAACCTGGTTCACTAAAAACAATTGATTCCTCCAATAAATAAGTCAACTTTTTTTATCAACCTTATTTTCTTTTGAATATGTTGTAATATAGATAACAAATAGTACAAACCTGACAAGGCCATCAGGACATTTTTGACACATTTCAAGTGATAGTTTTGATGTGGTTGACAAAGGTGGTAGGTATGTATCTAAAAACACAATAAAAAAAATATATACTTAGATAATACATTTTTATAAACTTTGTATGGAAAGTTTAAAACAACATTAATTTTTGCTAACTTATTAAGAAAATCTTAGTAAGAAATCACAGATCTGTTAAATTTCTATTGCATACAAAATTAAGTAATTTCATAACTTGCTGCAATCAAACACAAGAAGTTGTTAATGTGAAAAAAAAATTCTTATATTTTAAATAACTTTGCATAACTTTACAAATATTAAAAACTTACTTTCAGGACATGGAATACATTTTTCAGATTCAATATAATGCCCTGGTTTGCAGTTGATGCAATCACTAAACATAAATATTTAACTAAAAAAAATTTAAATTTACTTCATAAAAATACAAACAAAAATAATAAAAATTAATACTTTATATAAAAAAATTTTTTATTAATACTATTTTTATTATTAACAGTGAACATTAACAGAGGTCAACAATAAATGTCAATTTATAAAATAAAAATTAAGTTAAAGAAAAATCAAAGAAAATAAAGTAAATAAAATCAAATAAATTATCAATTTAGATAGCGTTATATATAAAGTAATTGGTAATTATGAAACAGAGTTACTTCATAATTACCAATTATGAAGTAACTCAGCAGTTGCAGGTTTTCAGAGTCATCTGAAAACCTGCAACTAACACCTCTCTGTTAAGCTTAATAAAGCATTAGTTAAACTTCATAAAAACTTTAATATTAACTTTATTTAAACTTTATTAAATGATAAAATGTTAAAAACATTTAAATACAGTAAAATAAATGCCAAAACATATCATTAAAATACTATATACTATCTCTTTTATGTTGTTTTAATACATACTACATACAAGGAGCCCATTTGCAAAACACACTAAAGTCCGAGTAAACTGATTTTGAAAAAACAACAAAAAACTAAACCATTCTTAGATGCACATTAACAAATATTGATATTTTCTTGGTCAATTTTTAATACCAAAAAATTTTTAATTGGTTACAGTATATAGAATGTGGAATAAGAATTAATTCAAAATTTTTATTTTTGTGACTTTTTGCATTTTGCAGATGGGTTCCTCATATGTTTATTTCAATAGTAACAAATTTTTAAATAAATTTTCAGGATTTTTTTTTAATAATAATTTTTTTTTTTTGACAAACCCTTTGTTTTACTTATGAAAAAATAAAATAAATTTTTTTTTTCAAATGATTATCAAGTTATATAGAAAAATAAAAAACTACCTATTTTTATTTTGCCATTTTTTAAATCAATTTGTTCAAACCGCTTTCAAAAGAAATATGTTTCAGATATCAGTTTTTAATATTGTTTTTACTATATGCATAAGTATCTAAAATTCAAATTCTTAATGAGTAGGGCAGACCTCGTGGCAAAATCGAGGTAATTTTGCCCCTTTTAATATTTCAAGAAAAAGATGTTAATTAGGCATAACATTATAATAAGATAATGTAAAATATTTATTATTTTAAAATTATAATCTTATAACTATTAATTGATCATAGTTGCTGTCTAATTTGATTGGTTGTTGTAAATTATAAATAAGATTTGCTGTTTAATGTTATTGATTGATATTATTGTGTCACTATTGCCCCAAGTGGCATTATTAATAATTTTGCGAAATTGATTGAAACTACATTTGAGAATAACTGCTAGGGTGAGAGCTTCATAAACTTGTTAAAACTTCTTTTGAAACCCAAACTGTTTAGAGTAAAAATGTTTTACTTTTAAATGGACATAAATTCTGTTACACATAATGCTTTCAAATATTTTGGAAAAAACAGATAATACAGATATAGGTCTATAACTTGAGATATCAGAACTATCATTGCCTTTTTAGATTGGATAAACTTTAGCTACTTTTAATGTATCAGGAAATACACCTTAATTTATTAAAATTTTCATAATATGAAACAAAGGTTTTATGATATGTTTTCTATTTAAAATTACTATATTGCTGGATATTCCATCAAAACCTGGCGATTTGTTCATTTTTAAAGATGAGAAAGCCTCCTTAATTTCTTTAAACGTTAATTCACTGTCACATAATTAATTATTATTGGCAGAATTTAAATTTTTGAATGAATTAAATTTTGATTGAATCAATGGGAGAAATTTTGTTAGCTAAATTTAGGCCAATTTTTTTAAAGTAATTGAAAAATAGAAACTACATTTGAGAATAACTGCTGAGAGCTTCATAAATTTGCTAAAACTATTTAACTGGCGTTCATGGTATATATTTTAAATAGGTTTTTCGACCAAGTAGATTATTGTTAAATGGTTTCGCCACAGAATGATAAAATAGTGCCACAGTAAAAAAATACATATAATGTACAATATTTTTGCTATATTTTTGCATATAATAATAAATATTAGTATCAATATTTATTATTATATAAACAACTTTATAAAATCATTGAACATATATCAGGAATTATAGTATGATGAATTTTTTTAGAAGTATTTTGAAGATGTAATAAATCAACAGTTTTTAGATATACATTTAAAGCTAAAGAACTTTATAATTTAACTTGAAAATATTTCTCTAAAATTCTCCTAAAACTTTGTATTTGAAAATGTTATTCATTTTAATTGCATGCATTTCTTATATTCGTAATTTCATATCATTAAATGCTCACCATCGCTGATTGTTTATAGCTACTATATCAATTAGCATGTTTAAAATACACCTTTATAAAATGTCAGCATCGATACTTAAAAAGATAGCTATTATGCCAATCATTAATAATTGTCTTGTTGCATTTTTACCCTAAGTGCCAAAATCTAAAATTCGCTGTATAAACTTGCTGTATATTATGTTTCAGATGGTACACATGTATCTCCCAAAGAAAAAGAAATCCTAAGTAAAATATTAATAGCAGCAAAAATATTTGGAGCACCGAGAATAAAGCTGAAAGATAAGATAAATGGTCGTTGACAATCAAGCTCTGTGGGAAGAAAAATAAAGCAATAGAAACAATGCTAGAGAACAGGCTTTTTTACAAGGCAGATCGTGGATTTCCATTGACAACAAATTAGTTGAGGTATAATGCTTATTATATGCTAAAAAATTACATCGTCATTGATTACTTCAAAAAGATTTGCCCACTATATGGCATAAATCTCACTTAGATTACTCACTTATTTAAAAAATAGAAAATCTCTGGATGTGTTTTTCAATCCAAGTGACTCAAAGAAGAAGTTCTCCATCAAACAAAAAAAAAAAGCAAGTGGCTCAAGAAAGGAAAGGAATTTTTGGCCCAATAAAATAAAAACAAATGGCTTAAAAAAAAAAAGGAAATCTCAGTTTAAAATCATTATTAAATCAAATGCTACCAAGTACATTGAAAGCTTATAACAGAAACAGCAAAAAACATCCTACTGCTATGTGTTTAGAGTGGCATGGGTGGATTCATCAGAAGACTGTCTCGTTTTTTATCATATATGGGAATGTGAAGTCTGCTTTTTTATCAACATGTGCACAGAATGTGATTAATTCTACAAAATATAATAAAGCTTTAACTCTTTTCATATTGGAAAAATTGCCCCATAAAAGCCAAAATCGTCCCATATAAGTGTGTAATACAAATTGGTGTTCATGAGTATAAATAATTTTTTTTTTTAGTTTTTAAACGTTGAATTAAATGTAGTTTATTCAATGTAATTCAATGGTATACAAAAAAAAAAAAAAAAGCGTATCAGGTTAAACAGACAACATTAAAGCAGCAAAAGTGGCAAAATCTCCCCGGTCTACTATATAAAATTATATAAAATTACTACTATATAAAATAATATAAATTACTACTATATAAAAACTACTATATAAAATTATAAAAAGATATTGGTTATATCAATAAAAGTATAAAAAATTATGAAACACATACTAAATTTAGATTAAAAATGATTTATTTTAAACAATAATTATTGTTAAGTGAAAATATACCTTCCATCAACACATTGTGCACATGTTTCTGTACCACCATTTTCAACATTAGTTATATCAATACTGTAAATCATTAATCTGAAATAAAAAAAATTTAATTAATAATATATCCTTCAAATATATACTTAAATAATAAAAAAAAATCCTTTAAAACTGTATATATAGTTAAATTGAAACAATACTTGAAGAGAAAATATATAATTTTTTTCATTGCTAACTTGATTGCTTTAAAAAAATGTTAATGAATATAATGATGCAGTTTATGAAGACAACAGTACTAATAACAAAATTAATTATGATGATGTCAAAGATAAAAACAGATCAGAAATAGTTATTTAAAAAAAAACATGATGTTAAACATAAATCACACAAATAACATAAAAATATAATTATTTTAACTAGAAAAACAAAGAATATAATAAATGACCTTGACATTAGAGACTTGAATGATTGAATATCTGGATTATATTTTTTTTCAAAAACAATTCTGTATTTTACGCCATATCTTGAATGTCGATTATGTCTAAAACAAAAAGGACTTTTTAAATAAATTATGAAACTTTTTAAGTTTTTTATTTTTTAAATTTAGGTAAACAATTTGAAAAATTGCAAAAATCTAAAAACTTACGCAAAAGTTCTTTTTGGTAAAGTCCCCTCAAACGTTTGAATGTCATGTACAGTGTGACCTGCATCTACCTGTAGAATAAATCAACAATAAAATATCAAAACTTTTTTACATTTCAATCAAAAACTATTTTTATCCATAAAAAACACTAGAAATAAAAAATATAATAGAAATAAAAAAAGCAAGAGATCTTTTTATTTGTTAATCTTTTGTTTCCTTTATTCATTTTTACTTGTTGATTTAAATTTTTTACTTTTTTGTTCATTTTATTTGTTGATCTTTTTTCCCTGTATTTAACTTTTTGTTTCTGTTTAGTATAAAAGTTTTATTAATTATTCATTTAAATTTGCTTCTAAATGATTAGTTTTTGAGGTAAACTTATTAAATACTTATTATATCATAATAATATTAATACTCCTTATATTATAATAATATTAATACTCCTTATTATATAATAATATTAATACTCCTGTCTTGACAAAAAGTCTTCTCTTTTCGATCGCCTAGAACAAGCAGCTGATCTTGAATCCGATCTCACTTCAGTAATAGATTGGGGTTCACAGTGGCTTGTGAATTTCAACTCTAACAAAACCCAGTTGTTTACTGCAAACAACTACCTTAATATGGTTAACATTCCTATATTAATGAATAGCAATCCTTTTACTGAGTCCTCCTCTTTACGTCTTCTTGGATTATCGCTTACTACTGACCTTTCATGGAAACCATATATACAATCGATTGCTAAATTAGCTTCTGCTAAGGTTGCTTCTCTTTATCGTGCTCGCCATTTCCTTACTTCTGATTCCATTCTCTACCTCTACAAATCTCTTATTCGTCCTTGTACGGAATACTGTTGTCATATTTGGGCTGGTTATTCTAACGATTCACTTTCTCTTCTTGACAAGGTCCAAAAACGCATTGTAAACGTTGTTGGACTTGGACTATCTGCTAAGCTTGAACCTCTTTCCCATCGTCGTAAAGTTGCATCTCTTTCTCTTTTCTACAGATACTATCATGGTCACTGCTCAAAGGAGTTATCATCTCTAGTTCCATCAACTAAAATTCATTCTCATTTTACTCGTCATTCAGTTAAGTCTCATTTGTTTACTGTATCTGTCCCTGCATGCTCTAAAAACTTTTATTCATCTAGTTTTTTTCCCCGCACTTCAATCCTTTGGAACTCTCTCCCATCTTCATGTTTTCCTGACTCATACAACCTTCAACTTTTCAAGTCTTCTGTCAACCGTTTCCTTGCTCTATAACTCTGTTCTTTTTTTTCCTAGTAACTCCCAACTTAATAGTGGTTGCTTGCAGCCTTGTTGGGAGTGAATGCAAATAATAATAATAAAAAAATGATGTTAAATAACTGCAACAATTTTTACCATTTATTAAATAATTTAATACAAAAACAAAGCTTTCTTTTATTAAAATTCTTTAATTTTTTTTTTGAATATTTTTTAATAAAAATTAATATTATTTTTTTATATAAACTTTGTTATGTTATAAACCAATGCCACTAGTTTTATTTAATTTTGGCAAATATATATATATATAAATATACACACACACACACACACACACACACACACATATATATATATATATATATATATATATATATATATATATATATATATATATATATATATATATATATATATATATATATATATATATATATATAAATATATATATACATATACATATACATATACATACACACACACACACACACACACACACACACACACACACACACACACATATATATATATATGTATATATATATATACATATATATATATATATATATATATATATATATATATATATATATATATATATATATATATATATATATATATATATATATATATATATATATATATATATATATATATATAATATAAACAAAGGTTGCAAGGTTTTGCTGTGGGATTGTAAGATCTACAACGTTTTACAATTTTCCATTTAATTGTCGAGCTTACTCCACTTTTTTTTAACCTCCATACTTCCTTAGATAATTCAGTGTCATTTTTATATTTTTTGATATTAAAAGATTTTGTATGGTTAGCGTATTTAAGCTTGAATGCGGTTTCACTCACTCCAAAATACACTTTTTCATTTTAGTCCAGAGTGTCTTGGTACCAAGTGGCTTGATACACTATGTATTTACAAGGCATTTTTGATTTAGAGAGCACTTGTTTTTAATAATACAATTGCAATATTTATTGGAATCAGAGTTGTTGTTTTTCATTATATGATGGTTATGAGAGTTAACTATTAATTTGATGTTTGACATACAACTGTAACTCACCTTGAGAGTATTTCTATTAAAAATCTTGTGGTATTTATGGCCAGCTGGGAAGTGTTTGTCTATTAAACTCAAAAAGAGTTTATCAATTTTTGTAGAAATATTTTTACTATATAGGGGGTTAAACCAGATTATATTAAGCTTCTGATTTTTTGATAGAGGTTGGATAAGCTTTGGAATAAGTTTGAATTTGCAACCAGACTTTTTTAATGCTGATACACATCGGATGAGTTTCGAAAAATATTTTCATTAAATGAATTATCTCACAGCCTTTATTGTATAGAACAAGGAAATTGCTTTAAAATGCTAGGAGGGTGATTGGATTCAACATGTATATAACTTAGTTCATCATTTGGTTTACAAAACGGTCTGAAAGATTGATCATTGAGGTTCAGTGTCACGCTAAGGAAGTTCAAAACTTTTATGTTAAATTGAATAAAGATAGAAAGATTGTTATTTTTAAAAATTTAAATATGTTATTTTATCGCCTCTGCTCTGTCAAAAGCACCCATTGCAACATCAAACAAACCTTCTTAATTCTTTTTAATTCAAGATTGCTCTTTATCAAACAACAATGATTTTCGGGCATGTTTAATTATTATTTTATCTTCGCTTCTAATGATTACATATTTCTCAGCAAATTTGCGTTATTCAAAAGATTTTCATTGATAAAAATCAATAATGTCAAAAATTAAAAATTTATAAAAATGTTTGTTCTAAAACGTTTTGCGTACTTTTCCATTGATTGAGACTGAGAATATTTTTTAGCTCAGCAATAATGTTAGATAAAATAAATTTACTGATTCTTCCGATTTCATTTTTTGCTGGATTTAAAAGACGGACAGTAGATTTATTTAAAAAATTGTCTTTATGATCTTTTAAAGTGATAAAGCAGTTGGATGGTTAATTTCGATTCTGTTAAAAACCTCATGATTTATGAACATGATCATTTTTAGGTTTTTTTTATTTCTTTATTTTGTGTCGATAATTGCCTTTAGGCATGAAACTATTAGTACCATAAAAGTTGTATTTTCTTTGTTTACAAATATATATATATATATATATATTAATTTTTCTTATAAATATAAACGAAGAAATTGCAAGAGTTATGTTGCTTAAAGCGTAAATACTTGCAATAATTATTTAAAAATTTCTGTATAAATAACTCTGTTATTAATTTTTCAATACAATTATTTGTATTTATGTTATTTAATATATTTGTACTTGATAACGTTATCAAGTATACTATTTTTAATAACAAGGGTATCTAAACTCCCTTGAAAAATTATTTTGAAAAATAAATAAAATTACATATAAAAAAAAAAAAAAATTATTTTTATTTTTTAAATTCAGTAATTATTTTTGTCACAATTTGTTATGAGAAATAAAGTATTAAAAATTTCATAACCTGGCTATCAACGCCTGCTAAATCTTATAATTTTCTATAAGTCTCATTTTTAGCTGGGGCCAGAACCCCATTTGCTAATACCATTTATCAGTTTTGTCTTAAATGTTCTTGAATTATTCATCAAATATTAAGTTAAAAATAAAAAAGAAAAAAATAATTCAAAAAATATTTTTTTTGTAAAATACAGTAACAAGAAACTTAAGTAACAAGGAATATTTGTATATTTTTTAATATTTTGTTTTTCAAGTTGAAATAATTTTGAGAGATAAAATATTTTTTTCATATTTTTTCTAAAAATTAAAAAACAAAAGTATTATTTAATAGAATGAATGAAAAATAGCTAATCAAAGAATTAAGTAGGAAAAAAGTTATTTAAAGTTGATAATTAGTTTTAAAAAAAGTTTTTAAAAATGAAGACAAAATATTTTTGATACAAATTACTAAAAGTTATTGAAACATTTTTATCATTCAAAATGCTTAATCAAATTTTATTATCAAATTTTATTAATTGAATGCCAACATCAAAATTTTAAAATCAGGATAATTAGTTTACTTTTAATATATAATTTTGAGCCAAAATTTGAAAACTCGTTTAGTGCTAACGATTAGCTAAAACTAATTGTTGAGTATGGGTGAGTAACAACCCTCGGAATTAGAAAAAAATGAGGTAAATTGCTAACCTGAAATTATTTGCAATAATTTGCTAACCTCAATATTTTAGAGCTCAGCATCAGATTGGCAAAAAAAAATTGATACAAGGGTCTTATCATAAAGTTAGAAACAAGGTCGGCAATTTTCTGCCAATCTCAAACATTTTTAGGTTGGCATTGCCGAATGCCAACCCTAATTCTGAGCATTGGTGAGTAACCAAAATCTACCTTTACTTATTTTCCACAGGCCCTGATTGCTAAATTTTTGATTTTAGTATTTTAAACTTAAAATTTTAAAATCATAATTAGTAGTAAATGTAGTCAAAATAATAGAAATTATAAATCAAAACTGAATCAAATACTTCTTGGAACTTTGTTCGACATAGGTCATCATTTTGACAGAACTGTTCAAATGTCATTGTAAATGTTGACTGATCTTCAGTGAATGCAGTTACATCTATATACATAACTAATTCTGCATCATCAGAATGACCAATACCAGTAGAAATGTATGAATTGTAAACTGACCACCCAGTTGGCGTGCGACAGCCATTTTCTAAAAAATAAAATCTTTTATAACAAGCAACTCTCTCAAGTTGGAAGTGATTAAGCACTTGTTAAAGAGGTTTAGATAATTATAACCATATAGTAAGCAATAAAAGAAAAAAAAAATAGTAATATTATCAAGTGGACATTTAACAAACATCAAAAAATCAATATTGAAAAAAACCTTAAAAAAGTTTTAATAATAAATGAAGTTTAATTACCATATCCTGGATTGGACAAACAATACAAGTGAATTGGACCACTCAAAGGAAGCTTGTTCCAAAACCGAAATTGTAAGCCAGGTTTACCCTTTGTATGAGGTGGGCACGATTTACACTCTAAAATTATGTTTATAAATAAGTAAGTGTATGTATGTATATATTATACATCTATAAATGCATGTTTGCATGTATGTTTGCATGTATGTATGCATGTATATATGTATGTATGTATGTATGTATCTATATATATATATATATATATATATATATATATATATATATATATATATATATATATATATATTCTCTTTAAAACTACAGTTTATGGGAAATACTTTTCGACTACCATGCATGACTATATATATATATATATATATATATATATATATATATATATATATATATATATATATATATATATATATATATATATATATATATATATATATATATATATATATATATATATATATATATATATATATATATATATATATATATATATATATATATATATATATATATATATATATAGTCATGCATGGTAGTCGAAAAGTATTTCCCATAAACTGTAGTTTTAAAGAGAGCGCTAATAAACAAGACCAGAAATAGTTTAAAAACTTAAATAAATTTTTTTTTTAATTAAATGATAGACTTCCTGTCCTAATTAAACCCAAAGTCGATGTAGCAGCACTCCCTTGCGAGTCAGACTATTTGTCAGTTGATGTAGCAACCTTCCATTCAGTCAGTTGATGTGGCAACCCTCCATTCCAGGCTATAACATAACCGATGTAGCAGCACTTTGCGCATGTTTTAAAAATATATTTTAATAAAACAATAACAAAAACACCATTAAGTAAAAAAAACTTTCTAGTCATTATTATTGCAGTTTTTTTAAAGAACAATAAAATTTAATGTACTTCTGTATTAATTTAATTGCTTTGGAAAGTTAGTACGAAAAATAGGGAAGCAGTATTACAAAGTTGTAGAGGCTTGTTAACAAATAAGCACAATAAGGTGCTTTACTAAGCACAATAAGGTGAAACACAAATGTGCTTTACTAAGCACAATAAGGTGCACAACAAAAATTTACGTTTTATCGATGGGACAAGCTTTGTGACAAGCCACACAATTCAATGAGATTTTGAAAAAGAATTTCACCTTAACTGTAATAAGATGTGAGAGCAAGAAACCCTCAAATGAGCAATGTATTACATCAACCAATGGAATAAATTCAAAATTGTCAAAGGTAATTAATAAATTATTATCTTTGAAATAAAGAATTTTTATTCTTAATTACCAGATTCTTATTTCTTAATTTTGAACTGTGTTAAAAAATTGTTTGTAGCAGGCATGACCAGGAAATCGTGCAATCATACACTATTATTGATTTTTGTTTTGACGATATGGCATTTATACATTTTTAAATGCTTGATGATAAGGTTTGTGTTATTGTTAAATGTTAATATTTAATTATTTTAAAAATGAGCTGAAAAAACTAAACTAAACCATGAGAAAGTTAAAAAAAAAAATCACCGAAAAAAAAATTGTCATTGAAAGATAAAAAAAAATTGACCTAAAAAAACTTAATTAAAATAAAAAAACTGTTTTTGGACAACATCACTTTGTTATTTTTTTCTACAGAATTCTTTTTTTAATGACAAATTTTTTAATCAAATCGATATTTATAATTCAAATATTTGTTGACAAAAGAACATAAGCATGGTCTTCAGGAACTTTCAAATGTCACAATTGTTATCGCCACTGTTATCTCAAATCAACAATCAGAATTAGAAAAACTGAGGTTGCAATAATTTGCCGACCTCAGGTTAGCAAAAAAAAATTGATACAAAGGTCTTACCATAAAAAATCAAGACGGTCGGCAATTTTTTGCCAACCTCAAACACTTTTAGGTCAGCAGCAATGCCTACCCTAATTCTGAGGGTTGATATTTATAATTTTTTTCATTTTACACTGTGTTTCATCAATAAAGACTCCTCAGACAAAGGTTTTTGTTAAATGATTTTCTACTAACTTATAATTGCTTTGCTTTTTTAAGAAAATTGAGCAATCTATTTTGTAGAATACATTTTAAAATTTAATATATATACAATTTAAAATTGTTAATATATATATATATATATATATATATTTTTTTTTTTTTTTTTTTTTTTTCTCAAAAATAAATATTTTGAGAAAAACTAATAATAAAATTATTAGTTTTTCTTAAAACTAATAATTTTATTATTTTATTATTCTAGAAATTTTTGCTGAGTTATAGGTACCATCTTCAGAGCTTGTTAAATATTGAAATAACTTTTAACCATTTAGTTATATTTAAATTTGTTATTATTGATGTCACTAGTTGAATTGACATTTTTGCGTTTAAATTCAAAAAATGGTGTCCAAAACATAGTTTAGACATATTGACCTTCATCAAGATAAATCCTTTTATTTCTTGCAAACACTTTTTTTTTTTTTTTTTGTATTTTAGGGCCTTCCTAATTTTTCTTTCAAATTTTTTATATTCTACCTTTAATGTTCTTGTTTTTTTCAAAATAATTTCTTCTTTGCAAAAGTTAACAAAAAGTACTCTATTCTTTGAAAAGAGACTAAGAAGTATTACTCATCAATTTTATCAAATAAGACAAAATAAAAACAATTCCATAGGAGTGCAATAATTTTCCTGTAGTGTCTTTGCAATGGGTACGAGGCTTTTCACCAACATTTCAAAAAATATTCCAAAAAGCAGGATAAAAAGCAATATTTAAATCAAATCCAGGTATAAGATCTCTGACTTCATCGAAAAACAAATCATAACTATCTATAAACAGAAAGCCTGAAACCTATATAATAAAATGCTACTGTTCTAAAGTTTACTTAGAACAGTAGCATTTTATTATATATATATAATAAAATGCTACTGTTTTAGTACTTAAGAGAAATTAAAATGCAGGTTATCACGCTGATGCATCAACATTAGCATTGATAAAAAGAAATCCTATCAATTTGCATTAGTATTTCATAAAACCAGTAAAACACAGTTGTTTTGGCCCCTCCCCCCCCCCCCCCCCAAAAAAAAAGAAGCTTAAAAATGGTTATTTATTGAGCAATATAATTATTGATATTAATTTATTTTTAACTAATCAAATTAATCCAGTTTCATTTTGCTCAATTTCAATTCAACTTGCTTAATTTCGATTAATTCAATTTCACCTTATTCAACTTCAACTAATTTAATTTCAACTAACTTCAACTCTTCAAACACCTTGTTTTTATCACAGTTCAAATCATACTGAGAAACAGCTGTAGAAAATTTTAAAACACTTTGGCATCTTTCTGAAATATCTGTGTGACATCACAGTTTGGCAGGCTGTAACACAGTTTCCTAGTTTCCAGTCAATTTACTGACTTAGATTATCAATACTATTGACAAGATGATTATTGTCAACAATACATGTTATACTAAAATGACTTCAAAGTCTTTTGTGATATTTTTTATTATTTTTTATTTATTCTTTATTAATGAAACGAACTTTATTTTAGTCATTAGTAAACAAAAGTTCATCAATTTATGCTACAGAAAATGATTATTTAGAAAAAATTGTAAATGTTATTACCTTATTATACATACTAGGGCTCAAATTAACGCAAAAAAAAATCTAATGGTGAACTCTCCCCCACCTCCCACACCTTATCCCAGGCACAAATTCACAAATTTTGCTAATTTGTGCCTGAAATTGAAATTGTTTTTGCGCATGGGATAAGGTGCGCAAAAACATGCCTAGAGACCTATACGATTCTATAAACCAAAAAAATAAGATCAAATGAAAAAAACATTAGATAACAAGATTTTTATAATTTTTTTCTTGATCTAGCATACTATTAAAAATTTAAGTATAATTAATCTTTTTATTCAAATGTTTTTAAGTTGATGTTTTCATTCAATTTTTTCATTCAAATTGTTTTGCAATAAAAAGTGAAAGGAAAAAATTTGGTCTAATCATATTTTTCTTTTATTTTATTTTATATATATTTTAATTTTTGGTTTAGCATTTGCAATAATCACTGGTTTAATAATTGCAATAGATTGTTTCTAGATTGATAACGCTTTAAATAAAATGAAAATATAAAAAAATGGAATCATTTTTTTATATTCTATTCGAGATTTTTTTGTTTAAATAAGTTTTAGTTGAAAGCCTTTATTATGTGTTAACAACATATAAGATATAAATAGTCTTGAAGTATATTAAGTAAATTTAATAGTTAAGTAACTGTAATAGTTGAGTAACCGTAAGTTTCTGTTGTAACTTAACTAGTTATTTTGGTTTAATTTAAAGTTGTATCACTGTTAATCACTGTAAATTAACTGGTTGTTTTGATTTAGTATGTAAGTAAATTTATTGTGATGTACTTTATCCATGCAGTAAATCAAACAAAATATAACTTTAAAATATAATTGGCTTTTACACAGAGATATAAGTAAAAATTCAAAAGTTATGTTTAATAAAAATCTGTGCTCAAGAGAGCAAACGATTCAAAATATAATTTATTGTGACATATTTTATGACTCCTAATAAAAAAATGCTAATAAGAAAAGAAAAAAAAATTAACAAAAAAAATCGCAAAAATATTTCTTTTTAAGAAAAAAGTAATCGCGATTGCTTTTCACACTTTCACCTTTTCACCAACAACAATTTTTTTATATCTTTTTTATATATTTTTTATATGATGATCCACACAAGTGATCTGAGAAATACTAAATTTGTTATTTAAATATACTCTTGTTGTTTAAACTAAACTTGTTACTTAAACTTTCATTGAAAATAATAGTTGTAATAAAATTTCTCGGCCATTACTAGTAATAAATATAAAAACTATACCTTCTCTCCCATTACTGTATGTGTTCTTAGGACACACAACGCAATCTGTTCCATTAGAATAAAACCCAGGGTTGCATGGTGGACAATCAACTTTTTCAGATGGTTTAGGTAAGGAAACTGCATTTGAAATAGTTGAGCTGCATATTTGAGGTTCCAGCCATTTATAAACTTTGTTTGTCTAGAGTAAATTGCACAATCAACATACATAGTAATGTGTGTGAAATATATATATATATATATATATATATATATATATATATATATATATATATATATATATATATATATATATATATATATATATATATATATATATATATTTTTGAGAACAATTTATTGCTTCTAGTTGGTTTAATTAGTTGGTTTAACTATTTATTGCTTCTAGTTGGTTTAATTAGTTGATTGAGGATTTCAAACCAAAGGAGATTGTAATAATATACATTTATTATAAAGTGTTAAAACTCTTTATTTATAATGTATTATACTTTTCTGCATATGTAATTCTTATATTATTTGAATAAATAAAAGAACGTATTTAAAAAAAAAAGTAAAATACTTTTCCATTTTCACATTGTGTCCAATATTCATCAAAATCATTTTCAGTGCAAGGTTTTCTTTTGCGACATTCTTGTGATTTTGGAGCTGAACATAAAATAATCAAGAAATTTTAAATTCTACTTATAAAAATGTTTATAAAATTCATTATATTGGATGAATCATAGATACAATAAACAAAAAATAATTATATATAAATCGAAAAATAGTACTTCAATTGCACTTTACATTTTGCAGAGCTATTGAAAAATTATATGATAAAACTTTTTTTTAATACACTCTTTGATGGTTTCAGATGTATAAAAAAGGAAATAAAGATTGCATGATAATAACTATTTTAATTATTGATCAGGTGTCATTTTTATCAAATTAAGAACGGAACCGCTATCTATGGCATTTATTTCAAGTTAGCCATACTAGAGTTCAATTTAACTCTGATATAAATCTGAAGTATATATGATATAAATCTGAAGTATATATGAATATAGATCTGAAGTATATATGATATAGATCTAAAGTATATATGATATAAATCTGAAGTATATATGGATATAAATCTGAAGTATATATGAATATAGATCTGAAGTATATATGATATAAATCTGAAGTATATATGATATAAATCTGAAGTATATATGAATATAGATCTGAAGTATATATGATATAGATCTAAAGTATATATGATATAAATCTGAAGTATATATGGATATAAATCTGAAGTATATATGAATATAGATCTGAAGTATATATGATATAAATCTGAAGTATATATGATATAAATCTGAAGTATATATGGATCTAAAGAATAAAATGTAAATCTAAAATAAATAGTGGTGAAATTCTAAATAAATAAATAAATCTAAAATGCTGTAAATAGTGGTGAGTTTCATACATCTTATGTAAGTCTTGATTTGTTATTTATATTAACAGTGCTAATGTATACAAATGAAACAAGAGTTAAAAAAAAAGTTAAAAGAAAACTAATTTTAAAACTTTGTGGAAAAATAAAGCCAGACAATTGGTTACAGATAAAAAATACAGGCGGCACTGTTACAACATCATTACGTATAAGCAAATGATAAACAAATTAACAAAATGTTTTAGCTTACTAAAAAGCATCACTAACAGGAAAATAAGCTTTAATAGCTACCCATGTCATTTGGGATAGATCCTGTTATATTTTACATTCTGAAACCTAAAATGCAACTAATTCATAAGCTGTTCATTTGAATTAGTTGCCTTCATATGCCTTTGATACTAAAATACAAAAACTAAAAAGACCATAAATTCACAATGCATGTTGTGCTTTGACTTGGTTGTCCAATAAATTGTAAAACAATTTTAACTATGAATGTATACAAAAATAAAATAAAATAACCTAACTAAATTTAAATAATAAATGTTAACATAGAAAATATACTGATTTTTCATAATAACAATATTTTACAAAATTGGCAATTCATTCTGAAGCAAACAATTTTAACTAAATTTAAACTAAATTTAATTTTGTTAAAGTTTAATTTAAAATTTTTTTTTTTAAATTAAACTTTAACAAAAACCTTCTACGATGTTTTATTTTTATTTTCTTTCTATTATAATTTTTAATAAAAATAGGAATTTTTTCACATCTGTTTTTTTGTTATCATTATTTTTTGCTTCATTTAGAAATCATTAGTTTATTACATAAAAAAATTTCCAACTATATTATGCAACTTTCCCCAAAACCCACACTTTGTTAGTTTTTTAGCATGGTTTTGTTTGGCACCAAGTGGCTTGGAGCCAAAAAGAATTATAAATGAAAATAATTTTACATTTATGAACACACCTTATTGTGACATAATATACTGAAACTGCAATTGAAAACAAGTGTTATGACAAACATATTTCTTAATTACAAATATTGCCATAACCTTATTTTATGATAATATCAGCCAATAACTAAATAATTGAGTCTCAGGTCCTAACTACGGAGTTATTAGTACAGGTCTACAATACTGAAATTTTGATGTTATTTGGAAGCTGAGTCTACCAAGTGTGACGAAACAATTCCTTTTTTGTGATACACAGGAAGATGCAGTATTTAATAGATTACACTCCAGCATGCTGATTTGGTTTAGAATATATATTACTTGGGATAAAACATTTACAGCACAAAGGATTTGTCAGATAAAAGTTTTAATTAAATTGCGAAGCAACATAAGGTTGCATTGAGTTACTAAGCAAAATAAATATATGATTGAATTGAGGCAATCAAAAAAAACCTAGCGCTAAGGTATGCAAATCTGATTCTGATTTAGCTTAGTTGCATAGAAAGGCAGTATCGAGAGCCTAAAAATGATAAAAAAGAAATGTGAAGAAGCTGTGAAGAAAAGATGTTGTTGAGAAGCTAAGTCTAGTAAGTGTGATACTTGATGAAACAATTTCTTTTAGTTTGTGTTACACAAGAAGATGCATTACTTCATAGATTACATTCATGCATGCTGCTTTGGTTTGGAATAAGCTGAAAAGATGAAATATAAATATAAAAAAGCTTAAGAAAATTGCTTAGAATAAAACTAGTTAAAGAAAATCTTTCTTATAATTTTACATTTATAAAATATAAAAATATATTTTATTCCTGCTGAAAATTATAACTCACCAAAAATAAAAACTGAATTTGAAGAGTTTTATGCACCTACTTTTTTTTACATTTTAGATACATAAAACTAATTTGATACAATAAATCTAAAGCTCCATTTTTATGGAGCTTTAAACTCCTCATTTTAATAAGTTAGGGAACTATGGTTTAACATGACCAATCCAAGGCTTGACTTTTTTTTCAAATATTGGAATTTGATGACCTGATTTTTTTTCAACTAAAAACTAAATTTTAAATTAAACATGTTTCAAGGCTGCATCAAAAATTTGCAAAAAATTTAAGTTAAACTTTTTTATATAACGAAAGTTAAATTGTAGCAATTATTTTTTAATAAATGATATATTCAGCGATGTAATTTTAATAAATGGTGTTTGGAAAAATAATCTTTGCTTTCACAACAAAATAGCTAATAAAAAAATAAGCTTTCAATAAATAAAGTAAATAAATTAATGTAGTTTTTTTATTTGCTACTCGTTTATTTTTTGAAAATAAAAAAACATTTAAAAAAATTATTTTTTGGAAAGCCGCAATTAGAAATTTAAGAATTAACATATTTTAATTAATTTAGTTTAATTCAAAATGCAATATTAAATTTAATCATTTAATGTTAAAAAAAAAATGAAAATAAACATTCCTTAATAGTAATAATAAAAAACAAGTTAATAATAATCAACTCGTTTTGCGGTAATTAATATTATTGCAGTAATTTAAAAAAGTTAATGTCTTTAAAAAATAAATAAATAAAGAGAATTTTAGGACGTCAAATTCACATTAGGCTATTGCGCTAAGCATTTTTTATTTAAAACAAGGCCTGATATATATATATATATATATATATATATATATATATATATATATATATATATATATATATATATATATATATATATATATATATACACACAGGGGTGGAAACTAGCCCTGTGGGGCCCCGTCAAACGCAGTATTCCCAAATGCTCATAAAATTAAAATTCTCAATTTAAAAGTGAAAAAATCCTATTCTCAAAATAAAGTTTGCTTATATAAAGTATAATAATAATTCTAAAAAACTATTGAAAATTGATTACTGTTAAAAACTAATAGAAAAATAACATAAAAAATTTATTGTTTAAAACTTGAAATAAAGTTGCCGTTATTAGTATAACTATTATCCTAAGATATACAGACGTACAAACAGTACATCTATTTGCATAACATAATTTTAACTTTAATAGTATATAATATAAACAGTCAAGCAAAAAAATCTTAACACCAGTATGGACATCCATAAAAATATGTCTTGACTCTTTAAAAATATACACTTTAATGTCATATAATATTTAAAAAAAAATGACATCATAGAAAATCATCTACACCACACTTTAAGTGCGGAACCTTAAAATTATAAATAACAAAATAATGGTCACCCCTAGGGATAACTAAAAACTGTGTTTTTTTTAAACTAGAAACTTCAAATTATTTTCATTATTTTTAATTGTTTTCTTTAAATTTGGTTTTATAAGTGCATAATAAATTTTATATGCGTAATTAATACTCTAATTTAAATCAAACAATATACATATCTGAATTAGACAATAGAGTTAAAAAAAAGTGTGAGGTGAAGATCAAAAAGAAAACTGACTTACATGAATATTCATCTTCTGAACATTTTTCACACACGCCTGCCCCACCTTTTGAAAATGTATTTGCTTCACAACTTTCACAACTATATAGATTTTAGAAAGCCGCATTAAAAAAATTGTTTCTGTAAATGGAAAAAATTTAAATAACAGAGAAGCAATTTATCATATTTATATTGATTAAAGAAGATACTTAATACACAAGATACAACATATGGAATACTAATAGTATCCTGTATTTTGTATAGGGACAGAGTTATTAACTTATAAAAATAATGTTTTAAAGATAACCCTATTAGTACATTATACACTACAAACATAAAATAATAAATTAAGCATGCTTACAAACTTGCTCCTTCTCGACTGAATGTACCTGGTGGACACCACTCACATTCATTAGAAAATGGAAAACCTAAACAAACAACATTAAAATATTCAATTGATCCAAAAAAAAATTTATTTATTTTAATGATTATGACAAGGGTTGAATTAACGCATCGCGATTTGCGATATCTGTTAAATTATCTGGTCTTCAAAGTTTTAGTTTATGGAACACCACGAAATTTACGGAATAGGCGAATAAACTTTAATTTGTTAGTGAAAATGTTATGAAAAACAAAACAATAAATTTATGACTACAAAAGTAATAATACTACAGTGTTGTTACTTTTATAACACTCTTTTATGTTGCATTTATAGTTTATTGTTTGATCAAACAACACATAATCAAGATATTATAAATAAAAATGATTTAATTAAGTAATTCCAAACTTTAATTAAAGTAGTAATGCATCTTGAAAAAATACAATGGATATTTAAACAATGTTAAAAACCTTAGCAACTTTTACGAATACATATTTTTATAAACAGTTTAGCATTTCTAAACATCTTACTAACAGTCCGGAAAAAACGCGTGTTCACTTTAAAATCATCCAATGAAAACACTGATAATTTACTTCTTAGGAGAAATCTATATTAAAAGGGGAGGGGAGGGAAGGAGGCTATAAACTTAAATTTTGTTTTATTATTTAATCAATTAAATCATAATAAAAGTAAAGACAAAAAAATATATTTCTAAAAATATACTTCTTTATAACTAAAATTTATTAAATTGAACTCCTCTGTTTTTAGTTTTAAGTAAATGTCAGTACTACTCTCAGTGGCGAAACTGCAGAGGGAAGGGGGGTAGCAGACAAAAAGTGTCCTATTTTTAAGCTAATTTTAGGTTGCATGGGCGATGTGGGGCTTATTTTAAAAATTGTGCGGAGGAGGGGGGGGGGGGGAATTTTGCTACTGACTACTCTAATGTGCTTAATACATAGGTAGGTGGGGGTGGGAATTTTAGTCAGGATATATAAAATGGGAGGAGTAAATAATAAAAAAAAGCGGGAGGATTTACAATGAAAGTTTTATTATTTATCGGTTACCAATATATATTTTTTTTAATTTTAAGGCCAATTTTCACTGAATTTTTGTTTTGAGATATAGTTTTTTGTTTATAACAAGTGACTTGTTATAAACAAATAACACGATTTTCAAAATCAGCCCCATATCGCCCATGCAACCTAAAATTAAATTAAAATCAGGACACTTTTTGTCTGTTAACCAAAGCCCCCCCTCCCCCGCAGTTTCGCCACTGAGAGTAGTACTGACATTTACTTAAAACTAAAAACAGAGGAGTTCAATTTAATAAATTTTAGTTATAAAGAAGTATATTTTTAGAAATATATTTTTTTGTCTTTACTTTTATTATGATTTAATTGATTAAATAATAAAACAAAATTTAAGTTTTTAGTCTCCCCCCCCCCCTCCCCTTTTAATATAGATTTCTCCTAAGAAGTAAATTATCAGTGTTTTCATTGGATGATTTTAAAGTGAACACGCGTTTTTTCCGGACTGTTAGTAAGATGTTTAGAAATGCTAAACTGTTTATAAAAATATGTATTCGTAAAAGTTGCTAAGGTTTTTAACATTGTTTAAATATCCATTGTATTTTTTCAAGATGCATTACTACTTTAATTAAAGTTTGGAATTACTTAATTAAATCATTTTTATTTATAATATCTTGATTATGTGTTGTTTGATCAAACAATAAACTATAAATGCAACATAAAAGAGTGTTATAAAAGTAACAACACTGTAGTATTATTACTTTTGTAGTCATAAATTTATTGTTTTGTTTTTCATAACATTTTCACTAACAAATTAAAGTTTATTCGCCTATTCCGTAAATTTCGTGGTGTTCCATAAACTAAAACTTTGAAGACCAGATAATTTAACAGATATCGCAAATCGCGATGCGTTAATTCAACCCTTGTATGAAATACTTGGTTATTCTCAATAATTTTATTAAATAACTTTGAAATAAAAGATCAAGTGGTTATCAAATTAAACAAAGCAAATAATATGTTGGGTTGCATTATAAAATTGTATTTTCCAAAAAAAAACATATTTGCAAAACTTCTAGGCGCAATAAACAACTCTTGTTCAGCTATTTATTTCTGTTGTTTATGATTATTTATGTTATTATAGTATTGTTTTATTAAAAATTGTCAACTACAATACATAAAGGACATCATTTAATACAAGAAACAGTATGGCTAGTGGTGATGCAAGTGATAACAGTGGTGATGCAAGTAATAACAGTGGTGATGCAAGTGATAACAGTGGTGATGCAAGTGATAACAGTTTTGACAATTCAGTTAATGAACCAGATTTTGTCCTCAAAACAGTGTGCATAGTGTAAATAATATTTCTGTCTTTAATGCAAATAAAGAGTCTTCCACCTTAGTAGAAAGTACTTCTGTAAGTGAATCCGAAAAATAATTTAAAAGTTACTTGAAAGTTCATCAAAATTCCTGATGACAAAAAATAAGGATAAATAAAAATATGTATCACATACACACAAAAACATAAATGTTTTAAGCTGTCACCAGTTTTAGGTTTATGTCCTTCAACTACTTTTATTTAAACTTATCCTCCAATAAAAACCTCTTTTTCTTTTACACCAATAATATTAAAAATTTCTTAAAACAACAACCATATTTTGCTAATTTTTATCTGTGCATTTTTTTGGGGGTTTTCTAGCTTTTATTTCCTGTTTAACAGTTTTTTTTTGTGAATCTCTCCTTTAGCTTTTCTGTTCTTAGCAATATTTTATTTATAATAAAAATCAGCATAAATAAAAAGCTTTGATAAACCATTTAAATGATTTGAACTTTTTTAAATCTTAAATATATTTTTCTTTAACTTAAAACATTTAAATTAACAACAACAACAACAAAAAATTATTCCGATTTGTTTTGCAATGCAATGGTTTCATGAATTCATTGTCATTGCATTACAAAACAAAAACATCTATATTAAAACAGATTGTAAAGTTTAAAAAATGCTTATAGAAATACCAACTTATTAGGAAATAAGGAAATGTTACATCACTCTCTTACTCTCTTTCTGAAGCTCTTACCATGCAGTTTATATTAATACAATATTATTCAAAAATTTTATATTTGACTCTTTTTTTAAGATACAACTTTTCGCATAAGCATACCTAAGCTTGTTCCAAAAATTTCAAATTTATAAAAAAACATGTAAAAGTGAGAAAAGAGTCAAAGAAGGTATAAGGTCATTCCATGTAAAACTGGGACAGTCATTTCAGTCACCCCTTGGATTTTCTTAAAATTTTTACCAGTGGTAACTATTAAGGAAACATGAAAAAATGCAAAATTTGAGCTCCCAAATCCAAACGGTTCAAAAGTTATGATGTTTTGAAATTTAGCTTAAAACGTTCCTTTTTTTAGGAAGTCCGCCATTATGGATTTTGTAGTTGTACTTTTAATTGAATAATTTAAGATCTAGTGGAAGAATGTGGCTGAAAATCAGTACCTGACCATTTTTGAGGGTGCTGAATTCAAAAATGTAGATAAAATAGTGAAATTTAAATTTTTTGATAGTTATTTTTTCATTTTAAAATGGCCAGTCAAATTTTTTGTTTTGTAACCATGGGTTGCGCTTTCATTAATTCCCGAAGTTGCCCAAGTCTCATGGATTCGATTTTTTTTCAAATGAAGTAGGTGATCCTAGGCTATCTTTATAAAAAAATGGTTTTGGGTTCTTAAAGCATAGAAAAGATATTTCATTTTGAAATTTAGACAAAAAATTTCTTTATTTGGCATCTATTATCTATTATAGATTTTATAGCGATACTTATTGTGTGAATAATTTAAGATCTAGTAGAGAAATATGACTGCAAATTGGTATCTGACCATTTTTAAAATTAACCCAATTCCTAATATTTAAAAATAATTTTTGAACTTTATTATGTCAACAGTCCTTTTTTTTTCTTTTAACCATAGTTTGCATTTCACTGATTTCTGGAGTTGCCTTACTCTCATTGTGAAATAAGAGATCTTACTCTCATTGTGAAATAAGAGATCTTACTCTCATTGTGAAGAGGTTTTATAAAAGTTTAGGTGAAAGTAAATAAAAAAGTTATATTACTTTGCATAACTTGCATATTTATCTATTTTTTCAAAAGTATACATAGAAATATAATTTACTATACAACACATTGAACAATTTTTTTTTATTATTATTCTAATAGTTAGATATTATTTTAAAATCTTGGTTGCATGAATCAAATTTAAGGTTACAAGCTCAAATGTTTTTTTAAAAAATAGGAAACTAAAATGCAAACTTTTTTGAAAAATATTACAAACCTGCTTTATTGAAAAAAGCTCAAAAATAAAAATGAAAAGGAATAACCAAATATTACTAAAATTTAAGTTCATATCATTTAAATAATGAAAGTAAAATATTAAATAACTTTCACTGAAAAGATAAAACTTGTTCAAATAAATTTTCATCTTCTTTTGAGATTTGGTACTGACACCCAGAAGATGTTGAAGGTGTTTTAACAAGACAAATAACATTCATTCTTGGCACCCAGCAATTATCATCCCGATTTGGCCAGTGGTATGACCGACTTGGGTAATGTGGATGCATAAATTTTACCATAAAATCATCATTCTCTTTATCAACTTTATAAACCATACCAAGCCAGTAAAAATCGTCATATTTGCAAAATAGATATTGTGACATCAAAACATTGTCAATTTTAATAATTTCATATTTTTGTTTTTTGAGGAAGTCAAATGTTAGAGAAAAATGATCATCATCGGATACCCTTTTCATTTTTATAATTGAATGAGAAGATGGTATAAATTGATGGAAACTTCTTGTCCCAGGAATAGTGGTTGCTATTAAAAGTCTATCTGTAAGTTTGTTTCTTACTAGCTCCATTTCTTCAGCAGAGACATACACAAACGTAATCCCACTGATTGACTTTTTACAGTATTCAAACATTGCTTGAGAAGACAGTATATGACCTGTGGTTGGACTCTGCAAGCTAGC